AGAGGGGCCAATGTCAACTGTTAAAAAATAGTCAGAGGACTAAGTAATTTCAAACCATCTGCTAGTTTAATCTATTTCCATAATAGATAGAAAACTAGTGATTTCCTAACAAAAAAAAAACACTTTTTTATATTCTTTAAAACACAAAAATGATTGGATTTTCATTTCTGACACCTACAGAAAGTGTCACTTGCTTTATGCATATGCCTCATGTTTCTTTTTTTCTACTTTCGGGACACATGTACAAAAACGTCTGACACAGCACATTGAAGTCAGATTATTGGGAGTTATGCTGATGTGGTAGAAGGTGGTAGAAAACGTATTTTCCCAAACTGACAGACCCCTGACCACAACGGGAACACTCCTCCGGTGTTATACCTCACATAGTTGTCGCAGAAAGTCTACCAACCGTACATTTTACCTTATAGTTGAAATGTCCGTTTGTTTCCAGAGTGTAAGTTGTCATACAGGAAACCTAGTTGTGTTTACCATTCAAGGTGATGCAGAACCTTAGACATAAAATCTTTTAAAGTCATCGTGATTCTTATTTTTTTCTTCTGTCATTTTTTAAATGGACAGAAATGTTTTGTAAAAGAGCAGCTACCTTCATATTTTTTCTGTTAATCACAGTATGCAAACAGCTGAGCATCTTTAATGATCTACATGTTAATTTCCAACAAATTGGGGGCAACTCCCTGCAAAATATACTGGAAAAAATGGCTAGTCAAAAGCTTTTTTTTGCACAATTTCTTCTTTCAATGTTGCACGCAGATACGATTGTAGTTCTCTCTCAGAAGACAGGAAGTATGACATGATGTCCTTCCCTAATAGGTCATCTATTGTATCACGCGTTTGTGTTTAGCAAAGCCTGTTGTGTAGGTCCCATCCGTTCACACACATTAAAACACTTGGCTCACACACACACCGAGTCGTCCGTCTCCCTCCTGCTATCACCATCGTGTGCGTGTAAGTGATCCTGTCTTTGTGAGGTTAATTGAAGGCAGGAGCGCTGACTGTCTAAGACGTAATCTGTCTGTGTGAACACTGTTGGATGTGTGTGCGCGTGTGTGTGCGTGTGTGTGCGTGTGTGTGCGAGGAGTACTGATGTCTAAAAGGAGGAATGACCACACTAGGCTCCTTTAAAAAAAAAAAAATCACAGGAAGAAACACACACAGCAGCTCTTCTTTATCCCTCCACCTGCTCCATCTCCACCTCAACTATAACCCCCCCCCCCCAACAGAGATTAGCTGTGTGTGTGCATGTGTGTACTCGGTAAGGGGGTGGGCGGGTCAGTTCTTGGGGATTTGGGGTCTACAAAAGAGACAAAAAAAAAGCAAGAGTGATGCCATAAGGCTCGCTTTTTCTCTCGTATCAGCTCTTATCAGGGTAGTCATTTTTGACAGGAGAAAAAGCCTTTATCTGGAAGAAACTGTGTCTGTCTGCGCACACATGTTGGCACTTACACACACACACACACACACACACACACTGAGCAGGTAATCGGCCTACTGGGAGAGTTAGGGGTCCTAGAATGGAAAGAAAGAGCTCTCACCAGTTCACCCCCTTCTTTGACTGGATTAGAGCCCACCAGTATTCTGTCCAGGTGCTCTGGAGGATGGAGGGGGTGAGGGGTCCGCGTCGGGTTAATTTCCCCTGCAGTGTGAGACCACATCCTGCTGTTTGCCGTCTGACAGATCCCATACGTTGGTAGCCTCAGCCCCAGCCTGCCGCCACGCCTGAAAACATTTCCTCCCTTCTTCTGTAGGGTCTGTCGGGGTTAATTTTCAGAGCATGTACTACTTTATCATGGTGTAATTTACTCACACGCACACGCATAACTGTTATTATATAATGACACCATAATTGCCGCCACTTCAAGTGCAAGATCGTGGATTCTTTAAATGAAGTGATGGTGCGTTTCCATTGTTGTGAATGACAGGGGAGGACGCGTAAGAGTTAATTACCACTGATTAGGGGGAGCTACAGTCACTGAACAAGCCAGCGTTGTGGTTCAATATTCCACTCAGTAATTGCTTCCTTTCGTTTTCCATCCTTCCCTTCACTCTCCTCTCCTTTGCACTGGCTCATACATTTTTTTTTTTTTACTGGTGTCCATCCATGCATGGGAAGCTCGCCTTTCCAAAAGGAGAGTTGGAGGGCCCTCTGCTGACTGATCTGGGACCTCGTATAACTTTGTTTAATGGGCTGAAAGGGAACTGCAAACCCAGCAAGGACAGTGATTATCTACTATCATGGTAAGTAAATGAAAAAAAACCAAAAAATATATGATCTTCAATGTGAGAAAGAGAATATCCAGCTTGAAAACAAATTTCTGGTGATGAGCTGTTCTTCTGAACATTTATAGCTTTTAAATGTACACTTAATTTGTGTTTTTGGTTGGATTTACCCGAATTAAATTAAGTTTTTCCAGCAAAGCTTTTATGCAGAGGTCAAGGATGTTCTGAAAAATAAAGTTACACGTATCTGGGATGATAAGACAAAGAGTTAGCAGAGAATGAACTCAAATTCAGTCAAGTCATTTCACAGACCTGTCAAATTTTTTAGGATCATTGTCAGATGTGTTGCTCAGACATCTCTGAGCTCTTTGCATGATTTTTTGTTCTTATTGTTTATGACTTATGACCGTATGCCTCGGACCATGCAGCAAGATAAAACTGGGACAAATGGGGCACTATGTGATGGATAGGAGGTCCTAAAAGACATGTTCATTTATAAGGCCTCGCCAAATTCAAAAGCCCATGACAAAAAAATCTGACAAACACAGAAGGTAACTGATTATTTTTAAAATCACACAGAGCAACTATGGTCCACGACAAAGTGATAAATGGTTGTTGTAATGTAGAGCAGCTCAGACTCCATTCAGATTGTAAACTTCATGTTTTGTTTTGTTTTGTCTCCAGTTTGTAATTTTCCGCCTTCTCTTCCCACGAGGTGATGATCACGTCTATTGGTTCTGGGTCCGGACGAGGACATCTCTTTACATTAAAAGAAAAGGCCTTGCTCTATTAGAACATTTAAAAATCCGCCCCACACCGGTTCTCCTCCACACGGTGGAGAAACTACATGATGGATAGCCAGGAGCACCACCACCATCGGTGGCAAATCTGTCAGTGCGCCCCATGAGTTTGATTCCTTCTATTTGTCCATCATGCTAGTGACCAGTAATCTGAATCAAAAAGGGATACATTTCCAGCTGCCCGAACTCCAACTTGGTACTTGTCAGAATGTCACGTCAGTTTTACCTGGATAGACCAGTACCCCAAAATGTGTCTATGGCTTTGCAGTCTGGAATTGAAATAGGATTGTTTAAAATGAAGTAAAAAGTTCTCACAGATGTTAAAGTCTCTCCTCAGCTGTTGTTATCCCCCTCAAGCTTGCCTGGGTTCCTGTCTGTTTTAAAGTTTTTGCCATGAGGGGGGAAAAGACGGCTTGGAGATGACGCTATGCTTTTTTCCGTCCAGACATTTTCTATTCCTGCTTAATCCAGCAGAGCATCACTAGGAACTCTATCCCATCTGCCATGGGAATAGAAGACGACGGGATAAATCCTGAACAGGAAACCAGTCCATTGCAGAGTCTACCTTTATCCTCAGTCAGCAATATGCCTGATCTGGCTCTGTGTCCTTATATTCTGTGTTAAATTCATCCGTGCAGATTTTTTTCGTTTGTTTTGGTCAAATTTGCAACATAATTTTGCTTTTTTTTTTTTAAAGTTTTTTTCTTCCTGCTTCTTGTTTGATTTGGGTCATTCCTGTGAGAATCACTTGTATTTTTTTTCCCACCACACCTGTTTTTATTCTCTGATGGTTATTCCTTTCAAGACCATGGCATTTAAGTTTGTATGACTTTATGCACCAGTAGCTTTTATGGTTTTTCTTGTTCTTTTGCTGATTTAATTACTTGTTTTTTTAGTTTGGGTTTTTGTTGACTTTATCAAAGCCTTAGTTAATTCGCCAATGCTCACCTTTCTTCCTGATGAACCAGCATCTGGGTACTTCCTCTTCATGTTTTTTGAGACAACAGATCAAAGGATTTGGATTGGATTTAGTGCTGTCACAAGCAAAACATGACGGGGTTTACAGTCAAAGAAGCGTCTCCAGCTCGGTTATGCTAATTTACGAATTGGCTTTCGAGCTTATTCAACATAGGACATACAGACTGTTTGGCCTCGTGCTTTTTAGATGACATGATACATTGAAGGTTGATTTTTACTTAAAGGTAGTTGCACATAAGAATATATTAAGCCCAAGGTTAAAAAGAGAAAGGGTAGAAAGGATACCGAGACAACACACGACACTTGTTGACACTGGCAAAATATATTTCAAATACATAAATACATACATGAAATAACTCAGTAGAGCACCAAAAACAGTGAGGTAAACACAACAGTAAAAAATCTGAGGTCGACCGACATTTCGTGTTTTATGACTATACATTTATTGGAACTCAATATTTTTAGTAAGTAGTGTTTTAGTATTTTTTTGTATTTTAGTTTATTTTGTGCCATAATAGCATTTTCTCTTTCCGAAATTATGTTACTCTTTGATCACAGAATGTCAGTGTTTTCATTGCATGAATGTGTATTTCAATCTGTGTGTTCTTTGGAGCGCAGTCGTTCCCTTTCCATCACTCCTCATTGGAGCATATAAAAGTCAGTGTGTGTTTCCACACTGTGTCGGCTCTACCCACTGCAGAAAGGCAGCTGAACTTGTGCGTTGGCAGTTGTGAAACAATCACACATTTCCATAATCAGGTTTTATAAAAAAAAGTTTGCCTTAAAGGAAGGTTTTTATGTGTGTGTGTGTTTACACCATTGTGTGTTCAGCTTTAGCTCTTTAAATCAGCATAGAAAATGAAGCGTGGAGTTTGAAACTCGGACTGGTTTAGAGGGGGCAGATGGCCAGCTAACCAAACCCACAAACAGCTGTTCATTTCTCAAAGCCCCTTTGACCAAACCACCCCCCACTCCCCTCACCCCCACCCACAGCCCCCCGTCCCAGCTGACCCTTTTTGTTTGCAGCCCGTCCAGCCACTCCTGCTTCCCACCTCTGCTGCAGCCCCACCACTTTGATTCTACTCTAAAATCAGGACAGGACTTCTCACTTTCTACTCTATGGACTTCATTTGCAGTGTAATAAAAAAGAAACAGCTATGGTTTGTTGGGATGCTCTCATATCTAAACACTGAGGGATTTTAAAAATAAATTAGATATAGCAAGCGGTTAAAAATGTAACATTGATCTTGTCCCTCCAGCCAGCATTTTCTAAAGCTTACACACACTGGCCGTGAAATGGAAAGAAAAACAAAAGGACACCACATAGTAAGCGTACTTTTGTCTGTCTTGTTCAAATTAGATCTGTCTGGCTGATTATTTTGACTTTCCATTTATTACGTCCGACAAACCTTAATCTTTGTATCATCTCACTGTAAAAAAGAGCCCTTTCTTTGTCCAACGTGGTCCACGGCAAATGTCAGGAAGCTTAAAATTGTGAACCATTTAAACAGGAGCTTTCCCTTTCCATGACAATGTTTAGGGTCTGCAAACAGTGACACGGTTGTTATAGTGTTTCTCCTTAAAGTTTGTACACCTCCTAATAACTTTCACTTGTGTACTTCTGTTTTGACATTTCCAGTCCTTGTAAATCGATTATCCTCCGTCACAGATCTACTGCGCCCTGTGGACTCTCATTGAGCTGTGGATTGGTCAATAAAAACAGCGCTGCCTAACACACCCTATTAATGTTGGCAGAGCGACAAGCTGCAGTCAATCATGATCCCTAACAGGAGGTTAACTGACCTGGTCACGTTGGTAACAATCAAGCTGCGTGCTTTCGCTTTTCCTGCATGTATGATGTCAAATCACCTAGGATACCCCCCCCCCCTCAATTGAATATGCATGCCGTATGTTAATTTTGTCCTGGAAAATGAACAGTACAAGAAAAATAAGTGACTGCACAATACTGGCGTCCATTTCATGTGGGCGCATTCACGTGAACGAGGATCTATCAAAATTCTTCTGTAAATTCTCTGGCGACACACATTGAAACTGATTGAAAATTATTCTAATAAGGCATTATCAGGTCTTGAAAACTAAACAGTGTTCAAGGGTTTAGAGACCAGGTACAGGTTGATCAGGTACCTCTATGACAGCGGGGGTTTTGTCAGTGGCGACACAACGCCAAGGAGGAAAGATACTAATGATTGTCTTAAAGAAGTAACCACTGCCTCCTTTTCGCTCTCTGGCTTAATCCCAATGCTTGACAGGTCTCAGTTAGCATTTTAGATTTTAAAGGTCATGACAGTAGAATGAGAAGAGGACTGAAAACGTGTGGCTTCCACAGAAGGGTTCGAGGAGAAAGGAGAAAGCAGATTTGCTTTAAAAAGATCGTGGCAGGATTAGGATTAGTCTAAGGATTGTTTCTAACCAAAATTTCGAGACTGTTAGAACAATTTTGGAATAGATTAGAACTGGATAAAAAAAACACCATATTTGGTGAAAACTATAATCAACAGAAACTGGGCTTGTTGTGCAGTCATTCAGTCAACCATGAGGTCTTCTGTATACTAAAATATTCCAAATTCTTACAGATAAAGCTCTGCTTAAACTGGGTTATCAATCCCACAGCCAGCAGGGGCTGATCAACAGAATGTCTTAAAAAAATAGAACCAAGGCGAGCCATTTGAAGTACAGATGACTGGACTGGAATACTCCAGCTGTTAATTCCTGTTGTGGTGTTGGGTGTTGGATGAGTTTTTTTTGTGTTTTTTTACCTCTAATTGATAATGGCACAGAGCTATAGCTCATAAAGTTTATAGCTGTTCATCTATGGTTGCATTTCAATAGTTTTCAAACCAGTTTGGGACTGTTTTCTGATTTTGTTTTCTGAGTATGTCTTACTTAAATTCTTCAACTTTAGGGAGGCTGTGCTTTCTTTTTACTCAACTGTATGTAAAGAGGTTCCAACACAAACTGTATGACCTGCAAGCATCCCGCTGACTCGAAAAAAAAAGAGAAAAAAAGGGGAAAAATGGCAGTTCCCATCTTTCACTTGCTGAGACGCAGTGCACGGCCCACCAGCATAAAAACCAACCCCGAGATGAGCTCCAGGGGCACGCCAGCTGCCGCCACCATGAAAGACGGACCGTAAAGCACCGAGACCTCAGCATCCGGGCAGGACTCCCCTCTCTCCTGCAGAATGTAGGGCTTCACATCCACCACCTCCATCCACAGCACGTAGAGAAGAATCATGAACAGGAACAGGCAGGCTGCGGAGAACATTCAGAGAGTGAGAAGCGCAAGGAGACAAGTGCAGCAGTGAGTGACAAGCGGAGGAATGCAGTCGTCGTCCCGAATGTGTTTACACCTGCTGTTGTTAAAGTGACAGCTCACCAGCGTCGCATCTGCTGCTCTTTGTGTCGTGTTTGTCATGTAACTGGCACGAGCAGCTGAATGTTGCCCAGGCTGGAAAACGTTCTCAGTACCCACTGCTGGCGGAATGCATTTCACACTACAGGCTCGAGCTCCACACATGCACATAAAGTAGTCTATATTTTTACCAGCGGCGATGAGGAAGGCCCCGCCCAGCCTGTGTAGCTTATGGCTGACGAAGGGAACGCCGCACACCAAGAGGAACCCTCCAGACAGAGCCGAGACCAGCCCAAAGACCATCAGCACGGTCCAGAAACCCCGGAGTACTGCACAATGGGAAAATACGATGTTTACCCCAACTTTATTGACAAAAATGAAAAAAAAGAAGAATGATAGCACTCACGTGCCGACAAGCAGATAACTGAAGGCTTGTAAGAATGCAACAAATGCGGGTTAATTGAATCTGATTTTGCATCAAGATGTGGGAGACGTAGGTGGGGATTCAGTCACAATGTTTTTACAGCTGCAGTGTAAGAAGTGACGTTTGCATTTAAGTCGAGGGGAAACAACGGTAATAAAAAATCTAGGAAATTGTGGGTGACATTAAAAAAATTTCGTGCTGTATTTTACATTAACGGGAAGAACGAAAAGTGAGGGAACTATTTTTTCTGCAGTGGGGTGTGATCAGACTCTGTCACCATGGATGCACATTTGAGAGTCCACTGGTGCAGAAGCTCTCTCCACTGGTTCACAAACGAATGATGGGGAATGTGGAAATTAAACAGAGAATATTGCTATTGGATTCATTGTAATCAATCAAACTTAAAAAATGTAGCTATGAAAAATGGCCGATACGCTGGTGGATATGGCTTCATTCTTGATATTGAGATTTGATATCATATGTTGTCTCAACCAAATCATCTCCCCATATCACTCAATGATTAATGATAAATGTGGCCTGCCTGTTTGTGTACGCAACATGACTTTGCGATGGTGAACTACCTGCAGTTGCATCATAAATCGGATGAGGAACTTGTCCAAGCGCAACTGGCAGCGGGAAGAGGTAACCATGGACACAGACCTTGGACTCTGGCTGGTTTGCTATGATGGAAAATAACATGTAAAAATAAGACGTAAAAAATCTCAAAGGGAAGTCTCATGAATCTGAGGAAGATCACATGGCCCCCCCAAAAAAAGATACATGGCTATTTAATTGAGAGGAAAATAAGAGATAACAGGCCTTAGAAAAGATTAAGTCAATCATCAATCTTTCCAACATTTGTTAGTGTGTCACATAGGCCGCACTGCAAAACTACAGCGCTGGCTGAAAGCGTTTCCAACATACTGAGAAGAGTGGCCAGGACGGCGTGCGTCTCGGGCTCCACCTGAAACACGCAGCGCCAGAAAAAGCCCTCGTGGTGCAGAGCGAGGGGCCGAGGCGAGACGGCGGCCGCCTTTTCAAAACGGATCTACCGGAGAACAGAGAGCACAAATTGACATCACAGAAACACACGCTCAAATACCTCGAGATGGATGTTTTCTCATTTTCTGCCGGGTCTGTCAACACTCGTCTGTGAACACAGCTCTGTGTGATTCTGCTCCTCGGTGGTGCCACGGCATCAAACGTGGTTCTGATTATGGCCGGCTGCTCTGTGAGGTTTTTCTTGGGGGGGAACTCATGAACACGCATGGCTGATACTCTCCCCTTGCTTGTCAAGAGTATGATTGATGGTGCTGAATAACACAACAACTTTAATCATCCCCTTTTATTGGGAATGAAAGACTTTGTTGGGCTGTGATGTTACAGAGGAGTTCGCAGGGGGAATTCGCTGTTATGAACACATCCCTCGCTATGTGCTTTCTGAACTTTCACACAAATGCTGCATGGGGGAATAAACTGGAAGATTAAAGGGGTACTTTGCTCATTCTTCACTTGAGGATCAGATGACTTGTCGTGTCTGACTCAGCCTGTGAAGGCGGCTGTGCGATGGTTCCTGAGGAGCTTTGTTGAGCTGAGCCCTGAGAACCCGACTTTTGGATTTGAAAAGCTTATTTTACACTTGACGGTGCAGATAGTGGACCAGGATTAACATAGGAAAATATTCACGTTGGCTGAGGATACACGTTCGGTTCCACCACTGGAGATGAGACTGGAATATCGCAACAGCTGCCTGGATTCCAGGGAAATTTTATACCCAGCTTAATGACCCCCATGTATTGAATATCGTAATAGTCTTGGCTGTACCTCCTAATCAGCATGCTTAGTCTTCATTCTGTAGAACGACTATATGCATTGTAAACATGTTTTCTAGAGCCTTGGGTTACCATGCTGATGCTAGCATTTGGCCAGTTTCACAGCCACTACGCTCTGGACAATGTAATGAAAGCACAACTCTAACTGGTTCCATTATATCTATTCCAAAAATTGTAAATTGATATTTTTTGCAGTTTGGCATCTGATCGGGGTCCACATTTTTGTTCTTGTGGTTGTCAAGTGAGCTTTTATCCTCAAAGCTTGGTGCCTCTTTTTTGTTTGTTTATACCGAGATCATGGAACCAATTCTTTCAGCAATCAGCAAGATCACAATTGAGTTTGCGGTTGTGTCTGTGAACACGCACACATTCTCTGACCTACCTCTGTTCCATTGGCAGTTTTGTCTTGTGTCTGCGTGGTTTGAGCGGGCCATGCATACGGTCCACAGTTGTCGCTTGCTACCAGCCAGTAGTCTGTGCCAAAAGCCAGGAGGAAACACAGGGTCCCCAAGACCCCAAAAATCCCCCCAGCCAAGGCTGCAGGTCCCACTCTCATAACCAAAGCCTTAAACCTCCCTTAATGTATCCTTGAGTATTCAGGTCCTCTGTGAAGTCCACTGTGAGATCGTCTGCCAACTCCCGTCTCCAAGAACACAGTCAGAGTGCCCCGGCCACTCCCTGGCGCACCGGGAAAAAGAAGTGGCGGTAACCGAGGAGGTCGGGCGAGGGGGACTGAGTTATTTTGGGAGGCCATAAGCCTGCCCTTGTCAAATTACCAATGGGTGTGCTGAGCTTTTGTAGAAGAAACAAGGAGACCCCGAGCTGTGTGTGCACGTGCCCGTGACGTGGACAGTATTTATGGCTGTGAGGCATTTCCAAATTAGGTGTCAGCCTTCAAGCGCTACTTTCAAAACGAGCCGAACTGCAGATCCAAGTGGCCCTCAAACCTCCACCCAATGTGGTCAAGAAGTTTAACATTGAGCAGAAAAAAAGGTTTATTACAGCTGCAAATCCTCAAGATCACACAACCATTAGATCCATTTCCACATTTTCAATCAGTCCATAGATTCGCTGGAGCCTTTTAACCCTGGTTTGCGCATCACTGTTCCACAACAAAACCAACAGGCTTTTTGAACTCTCCATTTCCTGGTCACATTGTGTCGTCATTGCTGTTTCTCGTTCTCCAGGTTAAAGCTTAGTTGCTTCACTGGGGCTCTCTCTGTCGTTACCTGGTCCTGTGGAGAAACCTGGCGGTGCAAAGTGGGCTTAGGATCCACTGGACGAGCCTGAACCGAAGCTGCAGAGGCCTCAGACTCAGGGAGCGCCTGTCTGGGGTTTGTGGAGCACACTGCAAGAAGGGGAGAGCAGAAAGAATAGGAGATGTGCTCTGAACTTTTATGCATCGTCGTATTTGTTCTTGTGGCGTAGACAAATGTGGAACTATGATGTGAGTGATAGCCCAAACTGTTACAAACTGTCTGTGTGTTGAACTCCAGCTGATTTAAATGGAAAATCATTTCAGATATAAATGCACTGAATCACATCACGTGGCTGTGCGGGTCTCGTGTCGCAGCCCTTCGTGTGTGAGAAGAGTATGATCTCAGGATTTATCGTTTATTAATTTCCTCAAACCTGTATGAGATCGACTGAGCCCTTTTCTTGCTCGGTGACAGTCGCCGAGATCTCCGTCCTCCCCCTGCAAATACAGGGAGAAACAGCTAAGAGCACACTCTTCAGACTAACCCTGATACTCTTCAGGTATCTTCATAAGTTAAAACTCATCCTGACTACCTTTTTTTTTTAACTCTGACTCTTATTTCTCCGTTTCTCCGATTGATTTGAGTGCTGGGACTTACATAAATTTTGTATGTTTTCGATAGTTTGCGTGCAGTACCTGGGGCCAGTGCGTAATGGTGTTGTACTTGTGTCGGTCTCCAGGACTTTGCAGACTGTGGAAGCGCACCCTTGTCCGATCCATGGCGATGACCTGGTGCAGGGTGTGTCTGCTGTAAGCCGGAGTCTGCTGGAGCCATATTGGATGTGCTTTACTGTGCATGTGCAGACTTTGGTTCTTCATGTTGAATCCTTACTGCATATTTTAGGAGGGAACAGTAGGAAGGAACTGAAAGAGGTTGTCCGGTATACCTTGTTGTTAATGGTTTGGAGATTTCTTGAAAGAATCCGTCTGATGCTGTCCATCTCCTCTGGCAGGAGGGGTCGACTGTGAGGACGAGCATCTACTCTGAGTTCAGAGATTGGTTAGTCACACTCACGTAGCACAGAGGTTTTCAGTTTTCCCAGTGATGAGTGGAAAAATCCACTAAAAGAATGTATACAACTTCAATCCAACTCTTTCAAACAAGCATTGCAATGAGATATTGTTAAAAACCTGAGCAGGAACATTATCCACCACCACAAAGACATTCATTACATCGGAGGTGCCTCCTCGTCCCGCCTCTGTGCCCTCCGCTCCAGCTCCTGGTAGACTCGGAGAATGCTGGAGCGGGCTTGGTGATGCTCGCGGATCAGAAAACGGCGGAGGTACCTCATGTTGAAGTGCTCAAACCTCACACACAGAAGCAAAGGGCATTTGACATTAATATGAAGCATTTGCTGCCTCCTAGTGGAGTTTACAGGAAAGGCAGACAGATTTCTTTTTATGGGGGAGAGAAAGCAGGTGGAAAAGAGAAAAACAAGAAAAACTAACTTGTCTTTCCAGTAATGCTGCCCCCAGTAGCCAACCACATCTTCTATTCCAGCCAGCAGGTGATCTATGAGCTTTAAAAAGAGACATCATATACCAATCTATGACTTTGCCAATTGTGACTCTTATCAATTCACTTTTTAGATTAGGGATTATTTTCTCCAGAAAACTGAATTCTGTTTCCCACCCTGCTGTGGATCTCCTCACTGATAGTAGGCAGAGCCCTCTTCTTCCTCTTCACATCCAAAAGCTCAGCCAGAGGCTTTATGGTCATTCCCTAAAAACCAAGCTCAGAGAATAAACCCAAAAGGTAGCCTATGGCGAGATATGGCAGATAACAGTGATTACAGAACAAGCAACTACTCTGTGGGTGAAAACTTTTTAAAAAAATCAAACAGAAGATCTTATCCAACATATGAGATTTTATATTAGCCGAAGGACATCACATAACAAGATAAACGAAAAAATAAGATGGAATTAGTAAAAAAGTACAAACTTACTGGCTTTTATCGTAGCTGAGACTATGAGTAGCAGTATTAGACACAGAAGTTATAAAAAGTTTAAAAGATTCTGTGAAGCATCTCAACATCCCGTGAAAAAGCCAAATTTATCTAAAAAAAAAAACTGCATACCAACGGTCAAGCACGGTGGTGGAAGGGCTATGATTTGGGCTTGGTTAAAAGCCACCGGACCTGGACACATTACAGTCATATTAGCTGGTCATGGCCTCCTCTACATGTATTCTAGAGTCAATCATGAATCAGTTGGTCTGACAGCTAAAGCTGAACTTGACAATGGGCCCCATACACTACAGCAGCTGTACAACAGAATGTCTGGATATAAAAGTATCAAGAGCCACTCAAATTTCAGACCTCAGAAATGCTATGATAAGAGCTTAGAAAATGGCCATATGAAGAAACAGAGGTAAATATCCAAAAACAGACAGAAAACCTCATTGTCGCGTAAGTTGGCTCTGAAATCTATTAAATCCTGATGGTCTTGGTTTTTCACACGGTGCTAACAACAGTTCTTGTTCCCCTTAGACTGTATTGTTCTACTTTTATACTCTTCACTTTTGATTTTCATAATTTTTCCCACACATACAACCTCAAAGTTTCAGATGGTGTGCTTTCTTTCCTTTTTTTTCTTTAAATCACTGTAAACTTCAACTATCGTGACATTGTGTTCTCACCTGTACAAACACAGTGAAGAGAATGACAACAATGGTGGTCGTGATAAAGAGTCTTTTCTTTGGGAAGTCGTCGATGAGAAAGACCAGGGAGAAGCAGATGGCTCCTCTCAGGCCACCGTAAGCGATGATAAACTGGTCCCTGAAGGTAACAGCGTTCCTCCGGAGCTTGTTCACCACGGCAGTCAGCAGGAGGACACCTTACAAGTGGTTAAAACGTGCGCACTGGTGAACTTGTGATGGTTTTCGGCTGCTTCAGAGGCGCAGCAAACACTTTTTAAAGCTACCTGAGCCCCTCCAGACAAGGCAGAGCAGGAGGGTGGAGCAGACGAAGGGCCAGCTCCACATATGGATGTCTTGGATGGTGGACACGCCCAGGAAGATGAAGATTAAGGTTTCGCTAACGCTGCTCCACATTTTCAGGAAGTACTGGATGCTGGTGTTGCTCTGCTCTGACACGTTCGCTTCCACGTACTGCTTCATGGTCACAGCGCAGGTCACAATGCTGCAGGGAGGACGGGGAAAAAAAGAACTATGAGTGGCCAAAGTTGGCCATCAACAACACAGAATGGTGTCTGGTGTGAGTCTGACAGTCTGCAGCACGCACGCCATGATGCCGGAGAGGTGAAGCATCTCTGAGGTCAGGTACGACAGGTAGGAATAGAGGAACACAAAGAGCGGGGCGATGACTTGGGCTTTCGAGGTGAATCTCGAGGTCAGGGCGGCAACCAAGCCAAAGAAGAGGCCAACAAACAATCCTCCCAGGCCGACCACGACCACCCTGCACCCTCCTAGAATCACATCCAGCCCTGACACCGACGGCAGGCGCAGAAAGGACTCGAACAGCTTGTAGAGCACCTGGGAGGAGAAGGCGGGTTTTAACAGGCTTTTTTTTTTAGCACCTGCAACGACCCGGTTGGACGCACGGCCGTCCCGCCCTCACCACTGTGACGGCGTCGTTGAGCAGAGACTCCCCGAACACCAGGATGTGCAGCTCCTCGTTGACATGCATCTCTTGGAAGACGGAGAGCACAGCCACCGGGTCGACGGCGGCGATCAGAGAGCCGAACAGCAGGCAGTGGAGCAGAGACACGTCTCCCAAAGAGCCAGGAGCCAGCAGGCACACGCCGTACAAAGAGAAGCCGATGCCCAGAACATTCCATAAGGTTCCCAGCACAGCATACCTGGAAGTGCACAAAAACAACAAAAAACAAAAAAAAACAGCTGGTATTATCCTGCCTCAATACATCAGATGTATGCATCACCACTGGACCTGAGTCCAGATCTCTCCAAAGTCACCCGAAAAGGGAATAGTTTTCTTTCAGGTCAAGCCTGTTCATGACATGATAATGGAGATTATGTGAAAATGTGTGACTAAACAGTTGGATATTTACACATCCAGCAGACGAGATCGGCATTCTGGTCGATGATCATCATCCTGCCATGTTCTAACAGTAAACTAGGTACACAAAAAAGACAATCACTTTCTACCAACCAGAGGATGGTACCGAGGTTTTCAAAGAACAGCCTCCCTGGCAGGAAGTACCCGGCATCTAAGACGATGGGGGGAAGCAGAAAGAGGAAGAAAGCATCGGCGCTCAGAGTCGGGGGAGCGGAGTGGCGGACGCCGTAGATCACCCCTCCAACAAGGAGGCCCACCATGATGAGGACGCAGCTCTCTGGGACGACTGCCGGGACTCGGCCTGACCAGTGGAAACCTGAAACGGTGAGACCCAGATGATAAGGACAAGTCAATTTATTTGAAGAATGTTGGCACTTTGTGAACTGCTTTGGGACTCAGAGGGACATTCTGTTTTGGCATGAGTGGAAAGAACACCATGACTTTATTTCGCCACTTGAAGTAATTCCTGTGTTCATTCCATCGGTATTTTTAAGTTTTAACAGGCCACAGGTTTCTTGACCATTTTTACCCCACTGGTATTGCACAATATTCTAATAACCGTCAAACCTGTCACATGGAAGTGGCCTGTAGATTATTATCAGAGACTTTTTCCATTAATGAATTCCACTGAAGACGACCTGAGGGCCTAAATGATGGTTCTCTCTCTTTATGTTGCGTTTATAAAGCTAAGGTCAGATTATCAAACTGAACACATAAAGATTTGTGCTTAAAAAGTCAATTGTTTTACCTTTCTCCTTGAATGGAGGTCATGTACTTTGTCGATGCTCTTTTTATTTTGTTCCCAGTAGCAACAATTGTTTTCCCTGTGTGACAGCTCTGGATGCAGGTACCTCTTTTCTGACTGTTGGTTATCTTCTGTTGCTGTTTTTCATTCCAAAGCATCAAACAATATGGTTGTTCTTTTGCAAATGTATGTCCTGTCTGTTGTCACTTTGTCTACTTTAAGCCGTATCATTTGGTTTCACGGTCTGTTTTATGTTGTCAACTATATACCGCCTAGCACAAATGTATTATTTACCCCCGGGTAGTTTGCACTGGTTCCCTATCATGATATACAGATGCCAATTTAGTTTTCCACAATGGGGGACAGCGCCTTTTTTAAATCTTTTTTAAGATACTCTCAGAATACACACATTGCTAACTAACACTCTGTGAGAACATCAAACTTTATTTTGTCATTGTCAAGTCTTTTGTTGCTCCTGTCTCAAAATGTACATTAGACGAAAATGGGACGTCTAGTGCACATAATGAGTGCTTCAAACTGTATTTGAATTTGCATTTTCCGCAGAAACCTGGCTTTTTTAGAGACGGAATTGTAAATCAAATTTAGAGAAATCTTCAAGAGTTCAATGAAATTGATTTTGTTTCTGACAATCTGACCCACACATATTTGATTTGTGAAATGTCTTAAGCACACAGTCACACCTAAACACTCCCTGTACCTTGGCAAAATGTGTCCTCTTGTTAATCAGCGCACGTACAGTGGAGCCCAGGCTTACCCAGCTTGGCCAGGGAGGCCAGCATGATCCACAACACGATCTCAAAGGGAGCCTGCACGTGATGGTAGTCCACGCTGAACACCCTCAGAGCCATGGGCAGATCTACAGACGGGCCCCTGTCGCTGCTGTTTACACCTGGCGGGGGGGGCAGGTTGAGGGGCTGGAGACGCTCATCGGGAGGGTTGAGGGCCAAACATCCCAAAAGCGAGGGGAGCAGAAGACGAGTCCACAGAGCAGCCATCCTGCTGCCACGGGACAACAAGAGGGAGGCAAAGGGGGGAGGGGGGGGTATTGGAGAGGGGTTAGAGAGACAGAGGGAGGGCCAGGAGTATGTGCACACACACAAAGCGCACTGAACAGAACTCATGCAGCTGCTAATGTGCACAGGAATCCCTGAGCTGGCAATGATCCCCCTTGCACACCCATACACACACACACACACATTTAAGCCATATATTAAATTCCTTTACTTAACAATAACTGCCCCCATCCACATCCATTGAAAAAAATACACCATTGCCCATTAGAATGACACAAAGTGCTCTGCCTCGTACATTTGTGGGCACTTTATTTCACCGTTTCCATGAACAGCATTTACGTATGCCTTCTCACGTAATGATGTACAGGTTCCAAGCTCACATTGACACAAGGGAACAAAGTGTTTCACAACTTGTGTAGAAAATGGTGGAAAGACTACCCAAACCAGATTATCACTGTTTCCTTCATTTGTTATTATTTGTCTTCTGTCGCGGTGGATGTGATTTTTCACATCTTTTTATATGCATAATATGCATATAAATGCATATATGGGCATCTCTTAGAATTGCACGGAGATGCGGGTCTTGCGTGAAACACTGTATTTTCACAGCAAGAGGGCTCCAAATTCGAATCCTTGGGGGCCTTTCTGTGTGGAGTTTGTATACGACTTAGCTTAGACTTGGCTTAGATCTAAACTAACTTTATTGTCATTTTGCATGCACGGGGTGTATACAGAACTAAATGTAGTTGCATACGGCTCATGACAATGTCATGAAATTGCAATGGAATAAAATAAGAGTACAATATAAAGTGCAACAGCAATATGAATGCATCATAGTGAAAGAACAAACTTATAAAAAATGTTTAACGTTGATCACAGTGCAAATTAAGGGAGCAAAATGGCAGTGAAAGTTCAGTTATGTACATGTGTGGCCGCTGACTTGCAGAGGGTTGGTGCTCAAGTCAGACACACAATCTGGGGTTTTCTGGATTACCGCTATTCAACGCTTGAGAAAGCGTTTGTTGAAGGTGAGGTAAGACCACACTGAAACGGACGGATTAGCCTGAGACCATGGATCAAACACTGCTTCGGAGAAAGTTTCTATTTCCAGGGAAAACCCCTGTGAACTTCAACCTATTGATGGTGTCAGGTGGTGTCAATGATGACATAAAAACCTCTCTCTGGAACCAAACCCCCTAGTGCATAGTTTGCAGTGGATGGGAATTTTTGCTTTTCTGGGGAAATGTGGGCTTTATGGTTATTAGGATTATCAGAATTGGATATTCAGAGTGAGAAGCTGGTGTTGGTGAACCAGATGTTTAAGAACATACAGTGGGGGAAATAAGTATTTGACCCCTTGCTGATTTTGCAGTTTTTTTTGTAAGTGGGTTTGCCCACTTACAAGGAATGCTTATTTTTCCTCATCAGTTGGTTATCAATTTTTATAAATTCATATTATGTGATTTTCTGGAATCTTCTTTGGGATTCTGGCTTTCACTGTTAGAATGTACATATGATTAAAGTTATAGATCGTTGCATTCTTTGCAAGTGGGCAAACCTGCAAAATCAGCAAGGGGTCAAATATTTATTTCCCCCACTGTAATGAACGCCACGCATGTTGATCCCAACGCTGTCCCAGTCTTGGAAAAATAAGTATACAAAATCAATGGAGAATAATTATGAGGCAGGTTCTTATTAGATAGATAGATAGATAGATAGATAGATAGATAGATAGATAGATAGATAGATAGATAGATAGATAGATAGATAGATAGATAGATAGATAGATAGATAGATAGATAGATAGATAACAGACCCTGATTTAACTGTCATCTTTAATCCATTAATTACAGGAAAACCTTTGGTGAATCTCTGTTTTCCATCTTTTTGCAGAGAGAGAAAAGCGCCTTAAGCCACCAAAAGACTGTTGGTGCATGTAAAAAGATCATCGTCGCCGCTGGATACCTGGGTATGAGGATTTCTTCCTCCCAGGTTAGAGATGAAACTCAAACCGTTAAGTCTGTCGCACACCCGGAGATTATTGCTCTGTTGTTTGAAGCCAGGTCTTACCGCGATCTGGGGGAAACTTTGATAGGGTTCCCCATCAAAGCGTATGGACCATTATGTCCATACACAGGATCTCATGAAATCACATCACGGAAGGCCTTCATCATCGTGAATCCTTGAAGACAATAGTGGGAATGTTTTATTTTCATATAAAGTCTTCTCATGTGTTGTTCATTTGAGGTTGTATTCATATGAATCTGACACCTGATGCATTTAAAAGTATCCTTATTTCATCCTAACATGTAAAACCTCATCAGTGCAGCTTGGTTTTTGTTTTTTAATTGTTCAGTTTCATATCCAGCAGAGGGTAAATTTTACATTTTTAACCTACACTAAATCGACTTTGAATACTTTTATTGTGGTGTGAACCAGCAGTTCTTAATATCTGTACTTCAAATTCTGCTTTTTCTTTCAACCTACCTGTGTTAAAAAACAAACAAACATCAAACCTACTATATGGCCTCTGTCTAATTATGTCATTTATTAAATCTGAGGTGTGTAATCTGTCCATCTCTATGCAGTAGTTATACAAATGAGGAAGACACTTTGATCTCGCTTTTTGAACATCATTCCATTGCAAATGTAATTCTTTACATCCCATAATGTTCTACATGGCTTTAAGGAAGCTAATGTACAGACTCAAAAGGATGAGGTGGAGGAAAATGAATGAAAGAACAGCTTAATGAAACTAAGGTGGCTTTTATTTATAATAACAATGATGAATTTATGTGTTTGAAATATTTGTTATATATAATATGAATTAGACAATACAAACAGGACTTTGCTCAATGTAAAAATTATGTGATTGTCAGGTAGATTCCTATTGGTGCAGTACCAGGATCAAACAGCAGGTGGCACATGAGAGCAGCTGTTATTTTTGAGGAATCATTTTATTAAGAAGTTGCATGAAAATAGCATAAGTACAATGAAATGTGCATTTTTTAAGTCACGCTCTGCCAATATATGAGTGAGAGTTCTCTTTGCTGGGTAACACAGAGGCAAAAACAGCAGGTTGAGCATTGTGTTTTAAAACTTTGGAGAGCCGTTTCCTTGTGGATGAGGATCTTCGAACTCTGAAATCCTCAAGATTGGGGAACTGAAGTTTGAAGAGCAGGGAGCTAAGTTGTGAGTGCTCAAGTAACTGATTTTACCACTGGTAGCCCCCCCGGTTTCTCCGACCAAACAGCCCTCGAGCGAGTTAGGCCCCTGCGAGTGGCAGCCCGGCTGCGGTGGGGGCACCAGGCCGCGCAGGAGGCTGTGCTCCAGGTGGGAGTTACATCGGGCCAGGTTGTCAGTCAGATGCTGCATATAAACCTCCTCCAGCTGCTTCTCCAGTATCCCGTTCAGCACCGAGTTGGACATGGGCTCCAGTCCCGACCCGGGCAGATCCAGGCTGATGTGTGCGCTGCCTCCCATGGCGAAATAACCCTGGTCCGGTATGGACAGGGCCGCGTCGGCGGGCGCTCCGTGCTGGGATTCTGGTAGAGACCTCAACCCGGAGGCAGGGGGCTGAACGGGAAAATCGCTCGGACTGACGGTGGATCTCAGCTGGTTCTGCGAGATGCGACCCGAGTCGGCCACCTGCAGGTCCGGGTACTGTGCCAGGAGGCTGCAGTCTTCAATACAAACAGGAGGATGGGCGGTTTCAGGTGAGCAGCCTGGGATCAGGAGGCCTGCAGCCTGAGGGCCCACCCTCAGTCCTTGGATTGGGCCGGGCTCCTGGACTTCCTGGTTTCCTGGACACAGACGTTGGTCATTATGTTTACTTTCTTTTGATTTTTTTCCAGTGTGAAACTGAACCCCTGAACAACTGCACCTAACCAATGACTGATGTGGCCCAGTATCACCCCGTTATTCACCCCGTTTACATTAAGCTTGATCCTCCCCTGGCAACTTAAATAGGCTCAAACTTTACCACAAAATACATATGATACTTTTAGCATCAAACATACAAAATATGACATTTAGGAAGTGATAGCAAAGTATACCTGCACACAGCCATCATCTAACCACAACTTTCATCCTGATTGAATAATCCCGTTAATCGGTATAGAATTCTACATACTCTATTATCAGACGGCTCTGTGGCAACAGGTAAAACAAACACAGTAGTGCATAAATGTTCTGGTAAGACTACATCTTTCAAAAGGGGAAGCATCTTGGAGTGAACTAAGGAAGCAAACACTGAAGATGAAGTTACAAGTGGAGCCAGTCCTTCAAGTTTTTTTTCCCACCCTGCAGCGTACATCCTGGAATACTTCAGTTATGTTGAAGCTAGGAGATCATTTACCTGCTTCAGCTGAGTTTATCTGCTGGATTGCAGAGCTGGAGTCGGGGGGAACACAGTCGAGCGCGTCGGAACAATGGGCACTTGTCTGCCATCCCTTTCGCTTGGAGGCGGCGGCGAACCTTCTCTCCTCCCTGTAGCACAGTAATCTGAGGAAACCTTCGGCCAACATGTCGCCTCAAGTGGCCCTCTTCTCTTCTCTGCCTGCCTCTTTCTTTCCAGCTCCGTTTGCTGCTTCTCGTTAGTGGTGACTGTCTCTACTCGCAGCAGGGCGAGATTGAAAATGGAACCACTGTGCTCTTCTGCTCTGTTTCACTTCTGCATCCGAGTGCTGGCCCCTCCACCACCCGGCGCTCACTTCCTTCTTTAATTGATAACTGAAAATCATTCTTATCAAAACAAGAGGTCAGTTGAACTAAACAAAGAGGAAAAAAAATGCCTGCTTGGAAGCAGAATTATTCAGTTACTTGCGTTGTGTGAAGTGCAGTGTATTAAAAGAAAATAGTTAGAACCACTTCAAAGATAGTTGGGTTGCTTATATGCTTTTTTACTTTTCGGGGCAAACCATTTTGTTTCATATGGGCCATCCAAATGTCACTGTGGTGCCCAAGTTTGAATCATTATCACAGAAAATAACTGGAAGATTCCTATGATTGTCATCCCAAAGCAGCCGAAAGGGAACGCCAACATACCAAGAAAGTTCAGCCGAGCTTTGTTTGTCCAGAAAAACTGGATGAAGAAAAAGTGAGTCAACAATGTGTTTTAAACTTGTTGAGTTTAAAGCATTTGGGTCTCAATCACCTTCCAAGACTGAATCATGAGATGTCCAGAAGGGAAATCTGACACACAGAGGAGTCCCTGTTTAGTTTTTTCTCACGTGTCTCTGCAGATGTGGAGATTGTGGCTTCAAGGATAACAAACCTAACCCTGAACCTAAAAATAACTTAATCAGCACTAAAAAAAAACACAAAACAGTCACATTCTGTCAACTTGAAATTATTTATTGTACAAAAACAAACAATAACACGAAGCCAGTTTTTTTTTCATATTGAACTTTCATCATTGAGAGTTGTGATTTAGCCTTTTTTTTTATCATTAACTTTAGCGAGGACACCAAAAATAAATCAGCAACACATAGTGAAAAAGGAGTCCTACGGAAAGAAGAAACTGCTATCCAACAACTTTCAAAAACAAAAACAAGCGAGTACAAAAGCATCCCTTTTTTTTGGGGGCCATTTTGGCATGAATTGTCTTTTTTCCCCCAACAACTATTATCTTAGAAAACAATTTGCTATGAAAATAGCATTAAGACAGTAACAAGTAAATTAAACACAGAGAACGGGACTATAGTTTTATGCACGTTTCAGGACGACTGACATGAGCTCAATGTTTCATTCTGCGTTTTCAAGATTTAAGACGTCTATGTGTCATGTTTGGAAAGTGATGAATCCTCTAATACCAGAGATGACCCGGGATCTGAGTCACAGAGATTGGGGAAATTGCTTGTGCCTGATGTTGTGTTCTATAAAAAGGCAGCTACTCATTGATGGTCAGAGTTGATTGACGCATCGTTAGACCAATAGACTTTGCAGGCTGAGGTTATAAGAGGCTGCAAAGCTGCTGCGAGATATACATTGCACTCTTCTCTGGTACAGTACCTCTGCTCACTACTCACAAGGCACAGCTAGGGTCAATTATAAAAAAAACATTGAGTGAGGAAGGTGAAAACAGTCCACATTTTTAATATAAGCTGAGTGAAGAGTTGTCTGTATTTTTCCTGGACCTAATAAGGGTCAGTCTGGTTTCGGGGTGGGTCTGGAGTCACGCGTAGGAGCGGTGTGAAGGATGCTATTGCTGTGCTTTCTTAGCCAAAGCCTCGGCCTCCTGGGGAGAAACAATGAGAAAAACAGGACAGGGAGAGGGAGAGGGCGATATATTAAAATGGAGGATATTGGTTTATATATCCCCTGCCATAGCTTAGAGGAAAACCCCACTGTTTCTATGGTAACTGGCACACCTCTCTGCAGTTCCTGTGGTGGCAGAGAGGAGGTGCCAGCATGCAGAGGTGAGAACTATAAGGAGTGCTGTGGTGTAAACACATCATAAGCAAATGTACTATGCAATTTGTGTGAATTCTATATGGAAATGACACTGTGGGGGCAAATGTAGACTTACACAGACAACCCAGTTTTATATAGTTTGCATGTAGGAGGGATGGTTTTGCGTTTGTGAGCTTACCTTTGAACCCGGGGGAGCAGTCAGACCCAGAAATGCATACACAGCGTTGTCCTCTCTGGCATCAAAGAAGGCCTCGTAGTTCTGAAAACAAGACAGGAACAGCTTGATCAGTCAGCTTTAGGGCCTAAACTCCATTCCCAAGAATAAGTGCATGAAACAGATAGTGAATCAGTGCCCTCGAGCGACAATCGGAGCTGTGGCAGGTTTACGAAAGGTCTCGTTAGTCTACGTGATTTTCTTAGACGAGAATGCAACCTAAACTGAACAAGCTAACAGATTCACCCGTTACTGACAGTGGATCACATTCCTGATCCTTCACTCCTTCTCGTCCCTTTGTATTTCTTCCTCTTTCTCCCACACACACGCACAAACATTTTCAATAGTGCCATACAGCTGCAAATCTCCTGGGAAATGCTGAGCTCCACGTCTGTGAAATTCAATATGGCCTATCCTGCATGTGCAGCTTCACGTCCTGCACTAAAGCTGGACACCCATGTGCTTGTAAGACGAGTAAAGCCGACCTGTGTGTGGCACTTGCACAGGCTTTGCACACACACGAGCAGCATAAGAAGACTTAGCAATGCCTCGACGACAAGACCCTGCAACTGTGTGTTTTGCGGATGCTTGAGTTCCATAACAGGGGGATATTGTCTAAATAAGATTGTCAGGGCTACACAGACACCAGGGTGGCCGGTAATTATTTAATTCCAGATGGTTAAAACCTAATCTGGCGTTGCCCTATTCAAGAAATAAAAAAAAGAAAAATCATGTTTTCAGTTTTTACCAAGACTTTTGAAAACTTCTTTGGCACAATTTCATGGTTTTAATATCATCTAGTTTAATTTATGATTACCCAAAAAGCCAAATTCACACGTAAAAATAATAGTTTGTAGACAAATTGCCCACATCTGATGCAAATCTGACTTCAGTTGGAACAAGAACATGTTCTAATTTTAATAATAATTCTAATCTTAATTAACAAAAATGTCTGAATAGACTTTTTACTAAAAGAAAATATCAAAATGTAAAGTTATCACTAATAAAAAACTTTCCATACAACAGCTGGAACTGCTTGATGTAGATCCTTCAGAACACACTTTAAATTTGTAATTTAAAAATGTCTAAATTCCACATCACAGTCTTATTGGACGTTGAGGACAATGATCAGAACATACTGAGAATATTAGTGTTTTCTCTGCTTAGCGGCGACGATTTTTTTCAATATTCCAGGAAGTAGAAGGAGCCTTACACAACTCAAACGGACATGTTTCTGATCAACCCTCAAATCAAACCCTTTAGCTCAGCTACAAGGCTAAAAGCTTAACTATGCATTACCTCACTGTGTGTAATGGTATATTATTAATTTAAGGATAAGCACATCACTTTTTTATTATTTGTATATGGAGCCAGGACAAGCTGTCATTTTTAAACTAAACTAGCTAAAATAAAGAATGTAATGTGTAAGAGTTTTAAGCGGCTTCTTTTAGCTAGCCGTTTCCTGGTTGTGTACTGAGCTAAGCTAAAATGGTTCCGGCTCCATTTTCATATTTATGCTTTCAAAAAATTGAATCAATTTAAATCTCTAAACAGTTACCTAAAAGGTTCTGTAAAAAACAAAAAAACAAAGTATTGCCATAATGTAAAGGAAAGCTGCCAACTCTCGCAGAGAAAGACTGGCAGAGGAACTCAGCCAATTCACACATTTCTCATTCTGTGAAGCCTCGTATCTAAATTCTAACAAAGCGAAAAACGGATTCCAGAATTGAGTATTTTGGCCGAATAAAGCTTTACATATTGAAAAACAAATAAAAAATAGAGGACAAAAATTGTATTCAGAAACTGAAATACTCCTCCCTCAATTATGAATTCAGAGTTAGCATAATGTTTCACATCCCCAAGGACTCTTTTCAATAAATGGCTTACACTGTGAAAAGTATAAGAAGGGTTTTATGAAAGGTTTTGAGATGATGATGTACATATGGTCAGCTGAAGCCTGCCTTTATACATTTTATATAACGTCTTAGCTACTTAACGGACAGACCCACATCAGAATTACATGAAACAAGAGTTTCTGGAAACCTGTTTTATTTATTAAAGCAACTGTTTTCCAATCCTCCTTTAAAGCTCAGCACAGTCCCAAGTCTGCCCTGTTGACGGGTTTTTTCTGATATATATTTACCAAGTTACTCTGGCCATTCTAAACTACATGTTCTTTTAGGTTACAGGACTGCTTTTGGGACCATAGCATCCTCATCTCTCGGTTTGAATGGTTGTTGGCCACCGCTTCATAGAAGGAGCTTTTATGTCAGAAATGACCATTTATTTTCCTCTGCAGCTGACCTTCTGTGCTGGGATTCCCCAGGAGTCAATTTTTGGCCTGTTTCCTCTTTATCTTCTACTTTGGTCAGTAGCACATGGTCAGTATTACCCTGTATGCTGATGACCGCCTAGTCTATCTTCCCCTTAAGTGTACCCCCTATAAGCCTCTTGAATGCCTTTTATTTTGAATGACGTTTAATCATAATTTTAATTAGAATTTCAATGATAAGAAGAACAAAGTCATTTTATTTCCTCCTAGTATTACGAGCACTCAACCTCCTTTCACTTGCACCTTACCAGAAGTCTGTCCCTTAATAATTTTGTGGTAAAATAGATTCCGCTTTAAACTTTGACAGCCCGATAGAATCTGCCATTAAATGTTTTTTCTCCCACCTGTGCCATTTCTCCAAAATGAACTAATCATCTTGAAACAGTAATTCACACTTTCACAGCCTCTCGGCTAGATTACTGCTTTTTATTATATGCTAACCGGGACTCTGGAGTGCGAGTCAACCTTTTATTAATTTGAAATATGCTGGCTTGGAGTATAGACTTGAACGTATCATGCTTTAAAATACATCAGCTTAGATTATCTGTGATTTGTGTGTGCTGATTAAACCACCTGGATGCTCTCAAAAGTCTGTTTGACTATTGCAACTCTTTAAAGATCACCCATATGGACAACCTCGGACCATCGATTCCATGTGTGTGTTCGTCTCACCCCGCAATATTTGCTTTCGTTAAATATCTGTGGGGGTAGAGGATTCCCCGTGGTGGGTCTGGACTCCTCCGGAACATTCTCTCTCATCCACTTCCTGTTGGCCTCGTTGGCTGCAATGTCACACTCCTCAAACTCAATCCGATTGGCCGCCAGGAAGCCCATCACATCCTGCTGCTGCTTTTTAATCTGAGCGTGGGGGGGGGGGGGGGGGGGAGAAGGGACGACGGGAGGGGAGTTATCAGTCACAGCTGGGTGTTAACTTTACAATTACAAGGCAACAAAGGGTCGTCGGTTCAGCACTCTGTCAACAGTCGGCTTCAAAAATAGACGAGGTGCTCGTCTGCCGCGGGAATTAATCATCGAAGCAGATGATCTGTTGCAAATTTCCCAGCTTTTTGCTGATAAGTGGAACAAGTGCATCGAAGAGGGCGAGCTTCATAGAAAAGAACTTTATATAAGGGAATTCCAGGCAGGAAGGAGGCAGAATTGAGGATGATTTGCATTGTTATTAAACGCAAAAAACAGATCATACTGGCAAACACTGTTCTTCTATGTAAAAAAGGCTATTCCAACAAATAAAGCGTCAAAAGCTGAAAATGGCAGATAGTGAGGAACATGTTTAATTTTCCCACTATGTTTATATGTATATTTTTTGTACAGCTTCTTCAGCCCCAACAACAGATACTCGGTTCCATTAGATTTTTCATTTCTGGCCATTTCAAATTTCTATTTTGCCTAACCAAGCAAGCTTTTCATTAATAAATCTTGGGAAACAAGTAGGGACAGACTAACAAGCCTTCGGGTGTACTTTATTCTAAAATTCGCAGTTGTAGAGTACCTATGTCACAAATAATCCTGCATGAAGACATCCAAATAGACAATGAAGAAGTTACAGCATTAAAAATGTGATCCTGTTCCTCTTTCTTTTTGCATCAGCCTCTGATGAAGTGTGTGAGTGGTTTAGTGTGTGAAATTGTGGTCCAATGGTATCTCAGTGGGTGTGTGCGCGAAGGAGGATGTCCCTACAAGGCCGGACGGAAACAGAAGCTCGTCTAGGACTCCAGAGGAGGTAACTGGTCAAATGGGAGCCAAATAAGGCCTGCTGCAAGGAGACACACATGCAGCCTGAGCTACGCACAGACGCAAGCTCACAGAAATCCACACACCAAAAAATCATACTACGCCGTCTTCGCTGCAAAAGGAAAAGCGGGATCGAGTTTTGGACTTCTTGTTGTCTCTAACGCCCCCATGTAAGGACTCCTTCCTGCTTTGTGGCACGCAGATGAGAGACAGGTGGATTATTTAACAGCCATCTGCCGAAGCAACCCCAGGGCATGTAAATGAGGAGGCTGACAATGCCGGCAGGTCGGCCGTGGCTAATTTGAATCGGTCGATGGCGGTTGCACTGGAAAGGGCAAAGTCCTAAAAACCCGTCTCTCTCCCGACCCGCTACGGAACCTGGTGCCGGCTGAAGCGACTGAGCAGAACACCGCGGCACGATAAAAAACATCTGGACCCGCTTGTGTCTCTCCTCAAAAGAGCAGAGAACATCCTCCGTCCGGAGTTTTGAACAGCATTCTACGTCCGTTTTCCCTCATTTGACTTCCATTTGCTTTGTAAACGACAGACTAACTTCACTTCTCAGTAACTATGATAACAAGTGCAGCATGAGTCTCCTCCCTTCCTTTCCTCCTCCACTTTGGTGCACTCTGCCGATAGCCCCAACAAGTCAGCATTGTACAGTTGCCAAGCAAAATTAATTTGTAGGACAAACTGGCCACATGCCATCTGCCCACAGCCCTAATTGCACAGTGGGAACGCCCAGCCTTGGCTGTTTGTGATGCTCTCCGTTGTGCTCGGCCTTTGAATTAAGCCCCTAGTGATTTGAATATCGAAGAAAACAGGCCGTCCAGAGCTTTGAGTGTGGTCATAAACAAGCATTCTTCTCCTCTTCCTTGGTACAATTCGCTCCTTATCCATTTCTCAGGAATGCTCCAAAATGATTCCCCGGTCAAAAGCCTCAGACAAAGGGTTTCAAGCTTGTGGTAAGCCTACAAGAAATAACTCCAGGCTTCGTGATTTACATGACAAATTTTTACCTAGTCATGCCCGATGTGCAAAAGTTCAACAAAATGCAAATGCAGAGCAAATAAATGGGTGCTACAGTAGTTTGTTTGTTTTTCTGTGCACACATGGATCATACTGTAACCCCTTGGTGTTTGAGGCTGGAGTTTTGTGCGACTATAAAAAGGTACTAAAATCTTTCAAAGTTTCCCTCTTGACTCCTTTTTTTTTGCACCTTAACAAAGAACCAGTTTGTTATCTTTAGTCACTTTAAAACTGACAAACTGTGAAAAAAGTACAGGGTTACACAGTTTTACAAAGCCAAAAAATCCCCAAATTTTAAGGAGTGTCTTGATAGTAACAAGATGGATGAACTCCCAAAGTTTGTCAAGAAAAAAATCTTACAATCATCAGATAAATGACCTTAGATATGCAGTCGACGCCTCAGCAAATATGGTCTCCATGAAGAGGTAGCTGTCAAGAAGACAAGGGAATAAAAACTGGGAGAAAACGCCTTTGGATGTCAAACAACACTGAAAATCGGTAGCAACCAGGGTTATGGAATCATGAATCATCCCCTCAGCCTGAACCTCAACAGTGTTGGAGAAAAAGCATCCAACCTTCAAAGAAGCTAAGAAATGTCCTCCACAAAGCCAGTTGAACGAATCCTTAAAACAAGTTAAGGATATAATAAGGCCCTTTTTCCGAGAGGGAACAACAAAGATGGTCATACCAAATACGTACACCGCTATAGTTCATTAGAAAGGTACAAACTCCACTCTTAAATAATGTAGGTTAATCTATGTGTGCACTTGTTTCAAGATAATGTTGCACTTATTTCCTGTTTCCACAACAATTTACATTGAAATGAGGGTTAGCTCGAGGACGTCCAATGGTACCGTGTTGTTGTAGATTTGGGTGATGCCCCGCCTTTCCCTATGAGAATGATTGATTTGGTGTTTCTATTCTTAGTTTAACTGATGGAATGACTGGCATGATGTCACCCAAAAAAAAAAAAAAAAAAAGATTTTATTGATCATTTTGCAAGATTCAGACGACTTTGTGCTGGTTCTACTTCCAGGGCCTGAAATAGGTGCTGGGTTCAGCAATCCTACCTGACAGGGTGAGTGGAACCTTTCCAGTGAAGCACTCTCAATATCTTTTGGTTGGACTGCCACTAGATTTGTAATAACATAATGTAAACATAAAGCTTTGTGAAAGGCTTTATGCCTTGCTGTAACTGAACACTGATTTTATTGCGATTGTACCCACTTTCAAGGTATTCAAGGCCAACATTTCTACTAAACGTACATGTAGATTTTTTTTTTATCTATTTGTTTTTTAACACAGTCCACAATCTTGCTGCACCTGAGAGCTCGACTCGGCTCCTGTACATGTACTTGTACTGTACTTTGGGACGGGGAGCCGAATGGTCCGGTTGAGCTTGTAACCAGGCTGACTGATAGAGATTGAAACCTGACACGACTAGACATCATCAGCTCTATTTCTTTCCGTATTGGATTCAAATTGACTTAAATGGTAAGCAGGATATATTGAAATGAAACAAAACATTTTTGGGAATGGTAAGTGTGCAGAATCTGTGTGTAAATCCATTCAGATCAATTCAATAGCATTCTATAGCTCCATTACCAATACATTTGTACCAGTAAGAAGCCAGACAGTAGATTAAGATAAAGGATTGAGACTCGTGCTGATTGAATCAGACACTCTTAATAAGCAGGGACCTCAGCCAACCACATCTGTATGAGTGCAAATTTGCATCATTGTGTGCATTCCAAATGATCACATGAGAGCTTTGGTCAGCCAGTGAGTTTCAATCCCGACCTGATCAATTACAGAAAAAGGTCAGAGCACAAACAGAGGCTAGACACTGGCCAGCACTGGTTGGACGGGCTGTATCCACAGCCCGGGCTTAGATCAATAACAGTTAGATCAGTTGGAAACTGACTCAGTCAGTTTTTTTAGACCAGGACTTAGGGTCAGGTCAATCCATCCCCCACTCAAGCGAAGGGTGGGAAAAAAAAAACACATTGAAGCTGCATTTGCCAAACAAACTTCGACATAAATAACATTAAATGACCTTTCAAATCCATCCGAGACTCCATATCTAAATCCGCCCCTGTGAGCAGCAGGAAACGTAAATCAACCCGAGCACCGCCTGTTTGTGGGGGATAAAGGTTTGCCTTGATTAGATCAGGAATGATTTTAGCCGAAAACAGCCGCTTACTGGAACGCCACCAGCGGGAGTAGCGTCCACCCAGTCAGTATTACAGCAATGTTTCAAAAGAGCCTTAGGCTGCTGTCTAAAGGTGAAACAGCACATGCTAAAAATAAATCACTTGTTATACACTAACTTAGTCATTCTACAAGCCAGGATGAATTAAAAAAACAAAATATTGACTTGATGTTAAACCTAAAGTGGTGAGAATCGAAGCAGAGTGAGATGGAGATCACATGACACGGACACACAGATGTAGACAACTGACAGTTTGGTGGGTGTTTCACAGTTTGCGTTTGCTGTGGCAGTCAGGAAGTTGTAGTGTCTGCAGTGCATAAATGGAAATGAAGCAGGAAATGGGCTTTTGCGCTGGCAAATGTTTTGCCTGGCCTCCACAGACACGGTTTAACTTTAGATGCTTAGATGTTCATTTGTAGGCTGGACGGTCAGCTGCAGGTGTGCAGGACATTTGCCTATGCGCGTTTAGGTAAAAAAGCCTAGTTTGCTTCTCCAATGGGGCCTCGGGGTCGAGATAAAGGGAAAGTAAGGCTAATGCATTGGGTGTAGATTTTCAACCGTTTCTTTCTTTCCTTTTTCCTCTGAGAAGCTCATGTCACAAAAAACATCCCTGACACCGTACACTGATATTTACCTATAATATAACAGGTGTTTATTCTCAATATAAAGTGCGACGTCCCCTCTTCCCACCTTGAATATGTGAAAGATACCTGTCATTTGAATAATCACTTTCCAAAAAAGCTCAACCCAGCTGAATCCTGCTGATGCTTCTGGACAACTTTACAAATGTCTGTCTTGTTTTGTTGGTAGAGTTCGACTTGTAAATAATAAGATGCGTCGAGAGAGAGATTTGATAAATGGGATGTAACGTCGGCCTTTGCTCGGTCTGACTATAAAGTGGTATCACGATGCTCTAAATAATAAGTAGGTTAGAAGCCAAAGCAGAGCAGATAAAGCGACTGTCATTAAAGTGAGCTTTATGGCGGCTCGCCTGGTGTTGTGACACTGCGAAAAGCACAGACTGGGGAGGATAACACCGAGTGCGCGCCCACGAGTTCGCCCTCTTCGCTAAGAACAGATCAATGAGAGGTAATGCATATTCCCAAACGCACACTCCGGCATAGCTGGCTCTGAACTCTGTCCACCCCTGACTCGGCAGAAAGCTCCCGTCCCGCGAGGCCTCTGAGGAAGAAGGGCGAAAAATCCTCCGTCCAATAGGAAGCAAGCTCGATGCTCGTTTCGTCTATGCATGGACTGTTAAATCAACCGGTGCAGAACCGGGGAATTATTATCCCATGTCATTCACATTGTGCAGAAACACATCCCCGTGTGTCCAGAATTCCCTCTTTGGCCATCTTCTCCTTGAGTCAGATAAAGATCTCGGGCTGATCCCAGTCCCCAGCAGGCCCTGAAGGCTGGCCCTGGGCTGCAGCTGCTTGTCTAAAAAAGGGGCCCGAGAGAATTGCATCACCGTCATTCCTGAGCACTCTGCTCTGGAAGAAAGTCGAAAGCCCTAAAGCCTTGCGCTCCTAAATGCTGCACGGCGGAGAGGGAAACATTTGAGGCTCAACTTCTCAGGACGTCGGACATCAGATGCCCTCACGACCATACGCACAAGCTTCTTCAGGGCCGTCGCACCGGGCGACACACACAACATCAACACAGAAAGTGTTTTTCTTAGTTTTGGTTAGCATTCGTCTGTTTGCAGCGTGGTTGTAACTGCATCAAAAAAGAACACACACTGTCACTTCAGGAAGCACTTTGACAAGCCACAGTTTAGGAGACAAACGCAGCCCGTGCTCAGTGACAGTGCCTCAGACTTCCTCTCTGCATCTATGTCAAGTCACAAAGTCACAGATGAGGAAGAATAAGAAGAGAAAATACATTTGTTTTAAAAACAGCTGTGTCCAAAGGAGAGTGGAGCTGCATGCTCACTGATGAGTCAGAGCACTCCAGACTGGAGCTGAGGATGGTCTGATGGAGATCAGTTGGTGAGTTCAGGAAAAGTTCAGCTTCTCCCTCTAAACTAGCCGGCTGGAAATATATATATTTTTTTTAAAGCCATGCAACGGGGGTTTTGCGCCTTACCGAAGTGGATCCAGAGGACGATGCAATGTACACTTTGATCACCATGTTTGATCCTTGATGCTGTCACAGGTTCCGGATGCCAACGGGTTTGCTTTTGCCCTCGCAGACACTTTGCAGTCAGGTGGAGCAGCAGCAGTCGCACAGAGAAAAAATAATCTTCTTCTTCTTCTTTTTATTTGATTGTAAAACAAACTTCAGCGGCAGGAACACTGGACGTTTGGAGCAAGCAGCGCAGACTATCTGCGCAAATGTTCTCGTTCTCAGCACTGGATGGTGCTCCGCATTCCTCCTCCGCCTCCACTCCGCCTCCCCGCCCCTCGACCGTCTCTCCCTCTCTCTCGCTTTCTCTCTCTCTATCTGTGGAGCTGAAAATTCTCACTCAAACACACGTACGTGAACGCACACAGAGACGATAGGCCCGTCAAAATGGCAACACGTCGACGGCTATGTTGCCTGAATATTTCAGCATTGGCTCCTTTTGTCTACAACCCAGACTCTGACCCTTTGTTCTCGGTTAGGCGGAACAAAAATACGAAAAAAAAAAAAAAAAACCCTCGCGCCGAAAGTGTTCCGGCTTCGCGTCGGAAGCGAAGCGAGTGAATCCGAAATGTAATTTCAGGAAGAAAAAAAAAAAGAGTGCAGTGATTTAGAGCGCTTTTGTGTAACGGCAGAGCTTCTTGAGCGGCCACCTTTTTCATTAGACTGGCTTTGTGAGCCCCCTGCAGGCGTCCGTCGAAGGCGACGCGAGGCTTCCCCCTTATACGAATTTAGGAAAGCCGACTGACAAAAAAAAAAAAAAATGTGTCGGAGAGGAGTGGGCGCCATATTGGACTCGAACACGGGAGTGAATTTATGGTGAAATTTCTCCCAGCCGGGCACGGTGAATGTGAACTCCCGCTTTAACACGAGCCAGATAGGGATGCACACCTTTACTGTGGGGCATGTTGCCCGCCGTCGAGGGCCTGTTGAGCGGGCTAGCGGTACGGCCTCTCGCTCCGCAATATCACGGCACACTTGGGCACTGTAGGCAATATGCCCGCGAATGCAAAGCCCCTTCCATTCTCGCAGGCTTCCTCCCCATCTTTGCCTGGAAGAAGCCATTCGCGCAGACCCCAGAACATCACCGGCTCCAAAATTCCAAGTGTTCTGCAGCCCCGAATAGCGTCATCTGATTGGTCGAGAGCCTATCAATCATGGCTTTAGCCGCACCCCTCCCCCCATTCAACCACTCGCCTCTCTGTTCCAGTGTGTTTACTACACTGCCGAGCATAAGGGAGACACTCGTCTTCACATGCACTGAACCCACTAAGAAAAACAGCCTTTAGTTGTATTTGTGAGAAAACCTCCAAGAGATCAACATGCCCAAGAGAAAGGTACGTATTATCCAAATAATAAAAATATTTTGAGCAGGATATCAGCCATTAATGCAATGCAAACGATTGTGAAGACATCCCTCTGAGACATTACTTAATTATAACGCAATGTATAACCGTTATTTCTCGCTGGTAATTTTTGCCCAGTTTGTAGATATAATGTACATTTTTTGTGTGTTAAAATGAATATTTTCCCGCTCCAGCACGGCCTTAAAATCGCGTTTTTGTGCGCGAGCCGCTGTCCTTTGGGGAGTCAGAAGTCTCTTTCGGTCTCCATGCAGTTAAAGCACAAGCAGCAGCCATGCTTTGCAGCTCTTGTCCACCTTCGTCGCCGACCTACCGAGAACAAACGCCTCACTTATCGCCGCCCCGCCACAAAACCGGCCGAAAGTACCACTAGAAAATGCCTTAGTGCCTCTACTTTGCATTTTGACCAGAAAAACAAACATTCTCGGTCGCGTTTCGATAAAATTATATATTTTCTCTCTTTGTTCGTAGTCCCAAATGGCTGCAGTGGCGTGCCTCCGCCTCCGGGGGGCGCGCGCGAGCCCCCATCAGGTCCCTCCCCCTTCTGAAAGACTCCCGCGCCAGCTTTCAAATCTGAGCTCCATGCATTGAATGAGAGAAAGAGATGGGGGAGTGAGAGGGAAAAGCAGGGCCTGGACCCTCAAAACATGGCTCCAGAGACCCACATGGCAGAGCTGTGGCAGCTTTAATCAGAAATCAAGCACTGGCTCTCAATTCTAGACCTTTGACCCTTTAAATTCACCTGTATTTGATGTAATTTTTTATTTTCGCCCGAAATTGAAAAGTTTTTCCGGGGAGTCCGCAAGTTAGTAGAATACCCAGCCGAGCCACCCGGCAGCTGTTCGCTGTGAATGCAATCCCCGGTTTAGACTTGGGGATGTTAATATGTGTTTATTCTTTCCATTTTCACCCAGGATATGTGTTTTTTTTCCAGGCACAGGGAACAGAAGGCGGAGAGAAGGAGGAGGTAAGACGGAGCCGAGTCCAGCAGCTCCACACACGTTTGGTTAAAATTGAATAAGTGTGTAGGGTGTGTCGGTGTGTTTTAAAAGGGAATAACGCATTGTCATATGCAGTGAAGATGTTTCCATGAATATGAGGTAATGCACATTGTAAAAGCCGTCTTTTTCTGTTGCAGCCCCAGAGGAGATCAGCTCGGTTATCGGCGGTAAGATGGCGAAACCTTCGCATCAGCTAATGCCATTTACATTAACAGATGTCTTTAATGAACCTGCTAAATAAAGTAGGAAGCTTTAAACACACACATATACCCAAAAATAGGGTTGTTACGTTTAAAAAATCAAAATAAAAAGTGTAAAAACACTCTCTTACTTTAACTTTTGCATCAAAGCAGTATATAAGTAAATATATAGGTTCTATTTAAAATTACAAGTTCGACGCTAACTTTAGAGCCAATTTGTGGTGCATTCGGTTGTTTATGACACGATAAAGTGTCCCGCATTCTGCATCAACCTGTAAGTCAAATAAAAACAAGATTTAGGAATCAATAACCGTGTCGGGGAATATTTTTAGTCGCAACTCGCTGCAAAATCAAGTACCTATAGCTGGCAACGCAAAGGCTCTCCTGAATGTAACTTTGGTACCTCAAATTTGTTTTAAAAGTCTTTTAAAAGCTCTTGGAAACAGATATGAATAGAAAAAAAGCCTTTGGTTATATTTTACTTTGAAGTAGGGGAACTTTCTTAGTGCAAATCCTCTTGTAATGTGAGAAACATGGCAGAAATACCCCAAAATATCGAAGATAACATCATTCCATCCAAGTAGAGCTGTATCTAGAATCCTTTTCTTTATTTTTTTCCCCCCAGAAACCAGTCCCACCCAAGCCGGAACCAAAGGTGAAGAAGGCGGCAAAGGTAAAAGACCAATAAGTGCATTAAAAGTGACTTTCATACAGGCAGGAGATGAAGCCGCGGGCTGTGTTTTTAACATTTATCCTGAAAACAACCTCCACCACTGTCCTTATTAACAGAAAGAAAAGGCTGTGAACGACAAGAAGGAGGACAAGAAGACCAAGAAGGCAAAGGAGAACGCTGAGGCAGAGGCCAACGAAGAAAACCACTCCGAGAACGGAGAGGCCAAGACCAACGAGGTGAGCCGGCCGCGATCCCCCGCCCGGCCACGTCGTTCTGGTCGCCGTGAGTCTGACCTCTGCTCCTCTGCTCCATCCCACAGGTGGAGGCAGCCCCAGAGGAGGCCAAGGAGGAGGCCAAGTCCGAGTAGCACCACTGCCCACGCTTCCTCCTCCTCTGCAACCATCGGCCCTCGAACCCCGCCCCAACCAGCCAGCCCTCCCTCCCTAAGTCTCTCACATGGTTTCCCTCCAAGGCGTATTGTTAACAGAGGAATATTTTTATCAATGATTTTATAAGTATCCGTACAGATTTTTAGCACAAAAAGCAAAGCTGATTATGGAGCGCCTTGCAGATTTGCAGTGATCATATCAAGTGTCTGCAAGCAAGATAAAAACACACTAAAATCTTTTTTAAATGGCATTTCATGATTGTTGAAGGCTTGTTTGGTGTAGAAAGAGCGTCCCTGCCGGATTGGCTATGTTGTGAGTTGTGTATTACTGTCTCCCCCCCGCCCTCCCCACCCCTCCTAGCCCCCTGCTCTATCCCTCCCTTCTCTCTCCCTCCTCAGATTAGACTTTCCTCCCCCCGACAGTTCAGCCTTTTCCTTGTTTTATTAACGTTTCGGCCATTTTAATGTGGGTGATTACTTTTTAGACATCTAAATGTGCAGTGAGCTCCCTTTGCTTATGTCTTGTTTCCTTTTTTTTTTTTCATTGAAGTTGTGTTTTAAACAAACAAAAAAAAAGCGTGTTGTCAATAAGAATAAGAAAGAGGAAGACGAACATGTGAAACATTCCGGGAAAAGCGATTGCCTCCGACCCGTCTCCTAGACGACCCTGCGTGTAAAACAGCTCCCGCTCCATCCAGGCTGTCATGTCAGCTTTTCTAAAAAAATGACAAAAAAAGACAACTTTTTTTTCGGTTCTTTTTTTTTTTTCCTTCCAACGGTTGAATTTGGAATCCTATCTCTGACAAATGCAGGTGTCTGGTCCCTCTCTTATGTTCTGAAATTCTCTTAATAAAAAGGAGTCCTGGGAATTTTCCTCGAACGACTGTGTCCCGCTTGCTTTTTTCGAGAGTGGTTCCGCGATAGCACCAGTAGTTGGTGAAGAGAAAGGGATTTTTCGGACTACTGCTAACCAAATTCAGCTTACACAGCGACACTAGCTTTAAAACCCAGTACACACTCTAGATAAAGCCATTTATTGTCTCAAAATTCAAGTTTACAGCTTCAGTGAAGCAAGAAATCTTGCCACATATCCCACATTTGTTTCTGCATTCTCCAATAATGACTGCGGGTGGGATTTTCTGAAATCTCTACGTGAATGAATCAGTGCTGTAGGCCCAAACTTCAGAAAACATTGCTTGTTGCCTGGTTTTAAAATGCGGCACTTCCTCACCCTGCCATGCTGTGTCTCGAGCCATTCTTGGCCTACCTACTCTGTGCCAGTACAGAGGACTTAGACCTTAAACTTACGGGACATTTTTGTCACTACGGAGAGACACAGCAATGAGATCCGCATTTAAAGAGATATCACAAACGATATGCCCGACATCCCTTTACGAGAGGTGAGGATCGCCCACTGCCACTTGGTTCTCGTTTCATCTGCGTTATGTCTCCCTGATCATTAGACGAAGGACTCTTCTCTTCTGGCTGAAATCCTCCCGTGAGACATTTTTACAACCCTTTGAAGTCTTTACATCAATTCCAGTAGCCTACGGTCGCCATTCCTCCCCTTTGGCCCTCACCAACTCATCTTTAAACTCTTTATGAACTCGTGCATCAGCGCCGTGACCCACATTCACTTCTTTCCCCCAAAGCGAAAGATCACTGGGTAATTTAGTAATGTGGTGTGTTTAGTTTACGCTTACAATGCTGCGTGGATGCGGCCCTTCTTAGGGAAGGAAGGAGGAATTACATGCACTCTACTAAGTACACATAATATGGCTCTGTCTGGGCTCTGGATGTGCTCCTTTGGCCGACATCTGTAAGGACGAGAATGTTATGTTTGCTCCTTTCTTTTGGGACTATGTCCCATTTCGCTGCGTTTGAAAATGCACAGGGATTCAGATTTTTTTGTTATCAGGAGAAAGTAATGCCTTAACCCCCCTATCAAAAGAGGATTTTAAGAACTCCAGAGGTGTATCTGACTGAAGCAGGCCCTCTGGTTTACACTGGACAAGAGTTGCGTGCGGCTCCTTTAGCCGTGCGTCACAGGCTGCACCGTCCAAAATCGGGGACTCCACGCTCGCTTTGCACGTTTCTTCCGCTATTGTGTCCAGCACATACAGCCCCTCTGACCTGCATTGTCATGGCCGAGCAACGGGCTCCATTTTGTCGATATTTTTTTCTGTAATTCAGGGTTTTATTGCAGCTTAGCGCCACTAGATGGCAGCCTTGCCTTAAAGATTTTGACCCCAAACACAGAGGCGCAAAGTACTAAATTAACGACGCTTTTTTGTAAAAACTGACATAATATGGATGTTATTTTTCTTCAGACATTAGTTCCTTTGAAGCACCAGTGATAGCAGATGATATAAGGCTTTCTAAGTGGAAAAATAATGGTTTCAAAAAGTCTCACATCTCCACTTTCATTAATCTCTCTCGCCCTTTAATCCTTTGCCAGTGTCATCTTTCTAATGCATTTACTTTTCATTTGGACGTGTTCGGTTCAATGAAGAGCAGATTATCAGAGTGGGACTATGGACCCAGCTTCCACGGCTCTGTGTGTGTGTGTGTGATCTATCGATGAGGCGCACTGATGTTAGGGGGGGAATGAAGAAAAACAACACCATTGATCCGGAAAGTTTGATCTCGGCCACAGTGGTTTTCTCTCTTTCATCTGCGCTTGTGATAATTCCCCAACTCCCACTCCCCTTCAACGATCCGTCCATTCACCCCTGTCTCCTGTGATCAGTTCCTCAGTTTCATTTTTACGACTTTGATTACCAGGGCAGCAAACACGCGGGTGCGCGCAGCTCTTTCGTTCTGGCAACATGGGGAGCCATCAGAAAGCTAATCAGCCCGTATTTAATGCTGAACTGGATGTTTGTCTACACGCTTATCTGTCTCTCTAACCATCTGCCAGTCTGCCTGTTTGAATAGGGCCACTCATGGTCTAATATTGCGGTGGTGTAACCCACAGCATGTTTGGGGTTTTTGTTCCAGCGGTGCTTGGGCCCTGAGGGGTTCCTCCTCATTTATGCCCACTCTGTCTCAATTATGTTAAACTAAGAAGGCGTTTTTTTAGATGTTGTGCGCGTCACGATACGTCTCCTCCCCGGCCCCTGCTGACTCCCTGCATTGTTCTGGTCATCGGCCCGGCCAGTGTGGCCGAGTTGTGGCAAGACACTAATAGGGTCCTGCAAATTTGGTGTGTGTGTGTGTGTGCGTTTGTGAGAGTAAGAGAGAGAAAGAGAGAGAGAAGGCAAGCTTGTTGCACCCTTGCGCAAAGAAATGAGACAAGACGCGTGCAAGCGTGAGCGCAAAGTGGAAGGGAGGGGAGGCGTGTGTCTTTGTGTGCGTGTGCTTGTGTGTGCGTTGGGGAGGGGGGGTTATTTTCCGAGTAAAGAATCCAGATGACCTTTTGCGACGAAGTGATTTAAATCGTGTCCTGTCGTCAGCTGATACCGCTGTGTAGAATGCCGATGAGCAATTGTTGTAGAAACAACGTCACACTTTCGCTCATGCGTAAAGCAAGGGGGGGGGGGGGGCACAACGTGCGCGCACACACAAACATACACACGCACACGCATACACACACGCTCACAAGATGCCAACAGGTCCGTGGTCACATTTAGTGTGAGGAAAACCGAGTCGAACGTGGCCCCCTCCGGACCTGTGTGGACCTGGGTAGTGCCTGAAATGAGCAGATGTTTTGTGGCACGGCTCTAATAATAACGCAGCTCCGCCAGGATGTCGCTGTCTGGCTGTCTTAAACTGTTTGTGTTCCGCTGTCTTGTTTATCTGCGAGACTGGCCGCACTCTGTGGAGGTGGGAAGCACAAGAGTGAATGAGAAGAGGCAGGGTGAGATGGAGAGAGAAAGTGCTTGGAGGTATAGAAGAAGAAGAGGGAGTTGGGGGGGGGGGGGAAAAAGAGATGAGAGGAAGCGAGCATGGGGGGAGAAGAGCTGGATGCAGACGGGGATCTATTCTCTCTCGGCGCGCAGACAAGATGGAAATGAGTCGGCGTCAGTGACGTCAATCAGCGTAGACACACAAATACAAATACAACACACACACACAGCACACACTCCTCTCCCAATCCTATGGAAATACACGCTCCACCAGAAACAGCAGCAGCGCAATGGATCGGAGCTCAAAACATCAGCACACACACACACAAAAACAAAAATAGCTCTCTACTCAAGCATATACAAGCAGATTATTTGGCCCAATCAGACCTGCCCTGGCTCGTGATGTCACACAATCACCCTCATTCATTCACACAGAAAAAATTGTCACTATCTGTCAATGAGTCCAGTAGTTTTTGTTCTACTAGGTATTGCATAGTCTAATGACCAAAAGCATCATAACATCCAGATGCACAAAGGTGTGTGTGTATCAGGATGTAGAAAAATATATTTAGGTCCTAAACCAGGTTTCCAGATGTAAAAAAACACAGCAACAGGGCACACCAGAGGCCAGATAGCAGCACTCCAGTGCTGGACTGGAATATTAAGGTGTTTTATGATGCAATTCCAGGGAGGACACACAATCGAAATGATCTTGGAGAAGCAGTTGTTTCTACCCATCAGTCTTTGACTTCACTTGTCTAGAAGGCTAACTGTAAAATAAATGAATAAATACAAATAAAAAGATGCCCGTGATGGCTAGAAAGTGAGCTAAGTTGTGACTGAAGATGGAATTTATGAAATCAAGACAAAGAAAAACATGTTAACTTTTGTTGTGTGCGGTTGTATAAGCCACTTATACAACTGAAACTGACACTAACCTTACTTATTCTCATTTGTATTACTTTTTGTCATACACAAACCCTTTTCCAGACACCCTGGAGCGTAATCTCCAGTAGGGCAACTACACCCTCCTGGCTATGATCTTAAAGTTACTCTTTATATTATTAACTCGAAACAAACCTACTTTTGACAGCTGGCTGTGCTGGCCGCCTTCATTTGAACCTTTTGAGACCAAAGGTTTTATTTATTTATTTTTGCTTTCTTCAAAGTGCATTGGATTAGCAGGACCTAAAAGTTAAAAAAAATGAGGACAGTTGGTTTATCTTTGTACATGAAATGTCAGGGATCAGAAGGTCCAAATTAATTCTAAAAACAAAATTTGTGCTTTCTATAATCAGTAAGTCCTTCTTATGAGGACAATGGGCATCTTCCTGATTGTTTGAAAGGCTGATAGTGTCTATGATGAGGCCGATAGGTCAAAGTTGACAAAAGAAAAGAAGTATCATGGTACGAGTATGACTTGATGGAAGGGTTGGAGAGCAGAAAACCTTTCCAGTTGAAAAATGATGCAGCAGCAGAAGACAGATAAGTCCAAAGTGAAATTTTTGGTCATAATGCACAGTATCATATTTTTAGAACAACCAAACCACACTATATCAGCTCAAACAAACTGTTGAGCACGGGGGTGGAAGGCTGATGGTCTGGACTCATTTTGCAGCCATGGCACTTGGACACCTCTCAATTATTGAGTGGGCCACAAACTCTTTTTATTTTGTCTCAATGTTTTCTTCTGTGAAATGTGTCCGACAGTAATAACATTACTCAAACTTGGTGTGGCAACAAAGCAGAAATTATGGAACAGAATGTAAGACTGTTGGAAAATAAGCGAATGAAAACCTGGTCGAAGTCCTGATTTGAATGACTTTGTAGTGTCTTTGTCCTACCTATTTATCAGAGCTTTTTTTTTTTTTAAAACAACAACAAATGTGTGCATGTTTTAGTGTTTGGCTGTGTGTTAGGGGCAGTGTGTTAGTGCTGGGTTCAATACTCTATGTGGGGGTAGGCAGGGCAAATGTGCCTTTGAAGTGACTATTCTGAGTTTCACATGCCGTTTAAAAGGAGAAAAAGGAGGTTTGGCTTGTTAAAAGGAAGCATTCTACAGTATTCAACACTAAAATAATCACAGTGACAGCAGTTTTGATTTTGCCCTTCCCACAAATTGATCAACATTTAACTTATCACAAGAGCCTTTATAACCTCATTGAAGATATCTTGATCGAGAAAAAAAGAAATATGTGAAAATACAAACTTTTAATACTCTGTTTTACTCCTTTGACTGTACAAAATATAATAAAAAAATACGTTCTTTTTACTATAAACAAAAACGCTAAAAGACTAGAATAATTATTAAAGTTTTGGCTACGTGATGCAATAGGTGTCAGAAATCAATTACCTAATATGATACAAACTCATTAAAGGGTTGCATCACTCCATTTCTGTAAACAAACATTTGGAAATATTTGTATGAAAGGTGTCAACCCCGTGCAGGTGCAAACCCACTATTCAATGGGATAACTTTGACTTTTCTAAAACTTCTCCAACGCAGAAAATCCCCCCGTCTCAGTCACGCACATCCTGCCGCTGTTTATTGCAATAGGATTTGTAAACCAACACCAGCCAGATGCTCGTCCAGCTGTGCTGTCTGTCCCAGGAATCTGTCCTGTTCACTCGGCCGTAAACCTGCCTCTGAGTGATCACGTTACGAAAGCGGGAGAGTCTTTGTCATGCGGCTAACATCCTGATCCATTGTGCTGCATTTGGTTTGCATAATTAACCAGGCGAGGTCCCAGTGACCCACAGGGTCCAAAATAGAATTGGTCCCTTGGAGACGAGGCAAGTACGTACAGACATAACAGTTTCCAACCCGTGTCCTGCCTCTATCTTAGATTTGAACTGTTGGAAGGGGAGTTAAACGGCCGCTGGTGCTGTGTGAGCAAGAGTGATGTACAGAGAGTTTGACGTCATCTGATTGACAGCTCGGATTTCTCAAGGTGCTCTGATTCGAGCCTCTTGTGTGGCACGTATTTGGCAAGTTCGCCTTTAAGAAACCATCCATCCATGTCACAGAGTCGTGACGACACGCACTTTCTATCCAGAGAAATGAAATCCTATTTTTGAAACGCTCCTCGCTGCCTCCCCAATTTTGCTTTAAAGGATGAATTAGTGGATAAAGCGAGAGTGCATCAATTTCTGTGTGTGGGGGCGGTATGTGTGTGCGTGTGTGTGTGTGCTCCTAATGAGGGGAAGCTGGGTGTGTGGATGTTGAGGGCAGCATTACTAGCCCACTGTCTTGCCAATTGCTTAATTTCTTTAAGTGAAACAAAAAAAGATTTTCTTGGCTGTTTTTCATCAAGGATCTTATCTTTGTGTATCTTCAGCTGGAAGAGAACTGAGTCATAGCAGGCGGAGGCATCTGGGTGGGAGGCACATGGTGGGTATGGTTTAGCAGAGGGGTGGAGGATGTGGGGAGCAGAGTGGGTAAACAGGGGGAGGGGGGGAGAGATTCTAGTGAATGAAAAAGAACTTATGAATGGTGCGTAGTATGCGCCTTCCTCGGAGAAAATGTGTCTGCGCGGGGACATAAAATCCTCCCAAATGCTTCTTGCTCCAGCCACTGATTCAGTGTGTGCGCCACTAACTTGTATTATGAATGAATGGTGATCATTTCAGCCAGGATTTTTTCCCCAGAGTGTTTTAGATTTTCTGAGGGCATAAAAAAGATGGTGAAAATTAGTATTTTTCTAGATGTCCACTGAAGTGGACAGCATACCTTTTATGGTTTCTCAGGAAAGAAACACTGTATGTTGCTATGTGGACATATTTTGACATTTGTTGAAAGAATGCATACACATAGACCTCTGCATCCACCACTCATTCTATTCTAATATTTATCACTATCCATCATCACCCCTTTTCTCACTCCCGCTCATTCAACCCCTTGATTTATCTCAGCCTATCTCAGCTCCTCTTGAACAGGATATTATTGCGGATATTCTAAAATTTTGATGGCATTATGCATCAGTGTCCACTTCAGTGGCCTATGCACATCTAAAACATAAGAACCCACATATACACAAGAAAATGGCTTTTACATAGCTGTCTGCTGGACTGACTGCATTAAAGGGCTAAAAAAAAAATTTACTATTCTAATTTACTATTCTATTTCATGCACACAGCTCTTCTCACACTTTAAAGACTTGAAATGCCAATGATGAGTGACAGAGTCACAGAGAAGTGTATTTTCTGGAATAGGATCAAGGGACGGAGGGAAGTGAAATGGCCAGAGGTCATAATCATCTGAAATCGCTCTTCAAACAGAGAAATACGTTTCATCCGCTAATCCATTCAATGTGCCCGTGCCCATATGCCTGCGCCCGCGAGATACGGAGGGATCCGGAAATGTTTTGACATTTTGTACTGGACCTGCAAAAAGCTGAGAATAGTCAGATCCGATGTAAACGCCCGGGCAGAAATAGAGAGAGGCAGATGTGTGGGTGCTGTTCTCTTCTTGTCTCAGTGAGTTTGAAAATGTTTGTTGAGGGCGGATGGGTGGGCAGGCCATTAGGTAAATTGATGCGCTTGCAGCTGTGTGTGTGTGTGTGTGTGTGTGTGAGCGTGCGTTCGCACCCAAACGTGTGTGTGTGTGTGTGCTCCTGCTCTGACATCACTGCTGCCGTCACTGCAGCCACCTCTCAGTGACTCCCTTGTGACTGAAGGCCTGACAACCTCCCACGCTCTTCCCGTCAAAACTCCCCTGCTCCAGCTCCTTTCACTTGGCTTTATCTATCAACCCCTCCACACACACACACCCACCAGCCCCTCCACCACCCCATCCCCCAGTCGCTATGCTTTCCCTCTCCTCCTCACCACTGAATTTCTCATCCATCCATCTCTCCGCCACCAGTGTCTTTTCATTTCACCCACCTTTTTTTTTTTTTTTTGGTTTTTTTTTTTTTTTCTCTTCCTCCTCCTCATTTGCTTGTGTGGGTCTTTCCCTGTCTTCCGTCACGCTCCCTGTGCCCACAGTGCTCCCTGGTCGTGTCTCTATGGAAACCCAGAGTGGACACAAGTGCCTCAGGGGTCTGCGAGACACTGATACAGGCCCCATTAGATCACACGGTTTCTTCCTTTGCCAAAGAGTAGCAGGCGTGCGAGCGCGTGATCAGTCGGCGTGAGCAGGTGCCGGATGGATACTACCGTGGCGATGCCTCACCCTTCTTTCTGCATAACCTGTGATCAGCGGGAATTGTTTCCAAAGGAGAGAAGAGGGCCCGGTGTTTTTATTACACTACGCATCTACTCAATTACAAGATGAAAAGAGGAACCACCTGATGCTGCCTCTGCATGTGTATTCCCATCTGAGGGACTCATTCACTCACACACAGGCGCACACACACACACACACACACACACCTCCCTCTCCTCTCCCTCCCGCCGTACACCTCATGAACCGCATTCTCCTCACATTTACACATTGTTGAGCCCGCTGTGTTGCGTAGCCCGTGCGTCATCCGGGTCCAAACGCATCTGAAGGACGGGTGATTTGTGATAAGAGGCCCCATACAGGCAGAATTTCACAGCTCTGGGCCACTCTCCTGGGTAGCGGCGTGATTTGACGGTCACGCTTAAGTGGATCATTGCCGAGCGCAATCATGGGGAGCATGCGTAAGCCGTGCGGCGTGTCGTTTTTTAGGGGAGAATGGTGCAGCGGGAGGGAAGTGAACGTGCTTTGTGTAAAACCACAAATGGTGTTTTCAGGAAACGGCCATTCGGTAAAATGTTTGAAAATCATCTGCTCTCATTTCTTGAAGGTTTGTTGGGTTTCTCTTTTATTTTATCAAAACGTACATGAATAAACTACAACAAAGGACTACATTAAAGAAGACATCAAAATGGGCAGCAATAACAGGGGTTGAACAACTGAACACACACCCAACCCGTCCCTTGACCCACCCCGTTAACACCCACAGTGCAGTGAGATAAAGACATGCCAGTGATGTCTCACATTTAGGCACTTGGTTTCCTCACCAAACCATCTTTGGTCAAAGTTGCTGTTGCGCGACTTTAAAAGGGTTTTCTTAACGTGTTCCTTCTTGGTTCTGTTTGAGTCAGAGAGGAGTCGTGTCAGTTTGAATCTAACTCCTTTCAGTTTGGGCAGATGGTCATCTGCCACGTTTAAGGTGACCAAAAGATGGTTATAACCTGACTGCCTCCCCAGAGTAAACTTTAGCACTGAATAAAGTAACACCAGATGATACGATACTTCACACCGTTACAGAAAGGACTCCACGAGGCAAATGAACCAAGCACTACATAGTAACACAATTTACCTGAAAACAATGCATTGTATTTGCACACATTTTACAGTAACCAATATGCTGTACAGTCTACACCAAAGGCATTGTTGTTGGCATTTTTCTTTAGTCTAACCACTCTGATTCATCTTGGAAAGTCTTGCAAAAATAGATCAATTTCTAATAAATTAAAAGCCTTTGCTTTGACATTACATGTGATCTATTTAGCTACTCATGCATTTTCTAACTTTGTGTGCGTTCAGCATTACATGTCTGGTTGCGTGTCTGCATGTGTGTTAACTCATGTGCTGTGCATATGTTGTGATGAAAATATTCTATACGTATTGTAGACGTGTCCCAATGTTTTTTTTCTTTTTCTTTCTTTTTTAATACCACTCCTGCGGAGGAATAACAAAGTTACATGAAACTGTTTGAGAAGCATAGTATTCACACAGTATTTGGCAGTGAGAAAAAACAGTCCTAATGTATTCATGCACGACACCAACCACAGGCAAGGTCCACATTCTGAACAAACCCATTAAGAACAACACAGTAAGAACATGAATAGAGTGTACAAGAATTTAAGAACCTGGAAGTGTTTGTCTATATGTGTGTGCGTGTCTGTGTGTGTGTGTGTGTGTGTGTGAATGTCAACAGCACAGTTGGTTTCCCAGGGAGACCAAAGGCCTATGACTCATGCGGTGCATACAGCATTTTCTGGATTTTGAACAACATTGGAAGAATTAATATTTTCCTACAAAGCCCAGATAATTACATATAATCATGTTAGAACCTTATAGAGTACTCAGGGAGTTTACTGTAAAAACCCACTCAGTCCCACCCCCACGGGTCTATTATAGACCAAACAGTTTATCCCTGGATTAAAGTTTCCATTCTCCTGATCTTTCTTCACAGTAAACAAAATTCCCTTGCTCAATTTGTGGGTTTTGTGTGCATTGTATGCTCATAGGGGCATCAGACTAGTCCCGTCTGCGGGTGCAGGTGTAAAGGGTAAGGTTGGTAAAGCAGAGTGGATCCACCTTGTGGTATGTAGTAGCTGCAGTAGCTGGGTTCTGCTAGGTAGGGGGCACTGTGCTCAGCGAGGTACGGGGCGGGCTGGTAGAAGCATGTCACATGGTCTGTGTTGGGTATGATGTTCTGCTCGCCGAGAACCTTCAGTGCCAACACGGTGATCATGTTGAGTGTTTGACGCCTCTCGTGCCCCATCAGACACACTGTGCTGTCGTCGATCACACGCCGCAGGGTCATGAGGTACTGGTATTTGCTCCTCTCCTCGCCAATGAAGTGGTTCTTCAAGTAGGACAGGATCTTCCTCTGTTGCTCCTGCACGTCCGGGAAATCGATGAAAAAGCGCGAGCACATGTAGCGCTCCAGCGTCTTTATCTGAGTCTCGCTGGCGGGCCGGTAGTCTCTGACCAGCAGGTTGCTGTATTTCAGCAAACCACCGCCTCGAATCTCCTCGGGGTTCCTGGTCGCAATCAGCCGGTAGCGCAGGTGGTCCATGGCGGCTTCAAAGTCCCCGTACATGCTCTCTGCTAGGACCTCCACTGCAGGGACTGAGTCGGATGGCAGAGGAGCGCTACAGCCTTCGCACATGTCTGGGGTTACCATGGGAGCCTCTGCGTTCTCAGGCACAGAGGTGGAGGCCTTGATGGCCTTCGGGGAGTCAGGTTCCCCTAAGCCCCCAGCCTGAGAGTGAGGCAGCACATGCGAGTTAGAGCTTGGGATTGTGATTGGAAAAGTGACAGGCTCAGTGACCTGAGGCGACGAGGAGACACAATCGTGTTCCTCTCCATCCTCCAACTCCAAGGGGGAGGCTCCTGAGTGAACGGGTGACTGGTCAATCTGCTCATCACTGTCTTCATTCAGTATCAGAGATTCTGTGTCTGAAGATACCTGAGGTACAAGGTCCTCAGACTCCACAGGTGGAGTGAGGCAGAGGAGGGGAGGGCTGAGACACGGGGACGGTGGGGTTAGGCAGAGTGGGGGAGGGCTAAGGCTTAGCATCGGTGGGGTGAGGTACGGAGGTGAGCTAAGGCAGGATGAGGTTGGACTGAAACTCAGAGGTGGGGAGCTAAAACTGGTAGTAGGGCTCATGGCATGCACCATCAATGATGGAGGAGTTAGACATGGGGGAGGGCTGAGACTTGGGGGTGAGGGAGTGCAGCATGGGGGCGAGAGACTCAGAACTGGGGGATTGAGAGAGGATGCAGGAGGAGTGACAGAGATGGAGGAGAGGGGCGCGCTGAGGGCTTCTTCTTGTGGACTGACATTTGGCTGGTTCGGGTCTCTGTCATTGGCCTTTCCTTCTGTTCTAACTTCACCGTCCTCTGTGGGATGCCCAGATTCTGTCTGGTTGGAGCTGGACTCGTCGGCGAGCGGAGCCAACGTTTCAAAAGAGTCAAGAGGCTCCGGTGGTTGGAGTTCAGGGGCAGTTTCTTTCAAAGAGGACTGACTTTGCTCATCACTTACAGCTGTCGCGTCTACTGTCCCGAGTAGGCTAATTTCACAGGGACCCTCGCCAATTATTCGACAGGAAGATGGCTCCTGACATAACACCAACTCGGGATCTCCAGCTGACGCAGGGATTACATCAGGGCCTGGCTCACTGGCTGAGGTGATGTCTGGGTTTGAGGGTAGGTCATGAGGAGGGTTAGGCTCGAGCCCAGTTGTTGGGATGTCAGAAGGGCATGGACTAGAAGCTGTAGACTTCACGTTCAAAGCTATGTTAGATTCAGGTGTGTGAAATATGTCCAAATCCAGACAGGGTGCAACCACAAGTTCACTTTCGGAGACCGGGCTGGGGTTGGAGGCAACCTTTCTGCACATCCTCCGAGGCGGTTTGGGCGAAGAGTGTTTGAGCACCACCATGTGAGACAGTCTTTCTGAAACCTTACCAGTCGGAGAGGAGGAGGTCTTTTTGTCTGAGACAAGGCTAGGTGGTGCGGGTAAAGCATCCTGAGTATCTGGGGGGTTGACAGCATCAAGTGTGTTTGCGGTCTTCTCTGAGTTATCAGTGTCAGCAGGCTCTGTGTTGATGAGTGTAACAGTTGGGGAGGCAGAACAGGAACAATCGACACACTGCGTGCCTTCTCCGTGCTTCTCCTCTAATGTTGAACTCTCCTCATCGGCTTCGCCCGTTCCTGTGTCATTTTGCGTCTCTGCTTTAATCTCCTCACTGTTCTCCATTTCAGCTTTCCTTTCATCTTCCAACTGAGCCTCCATCTCTGCAAACGAGGACACAATAGCGTCTGGAGCGGACGCGTGGAGAGTCTTATCTGCCTCATTGCTTGCGTGATCCGCCCTGAAACATTTAGATAAGTTTGTTTTATCAGATTCATCTGTGCTGGGAGGCTCCTCTGTGGGGTTTAGATGCTCTGCCTGGGGTTTATGGGAGGTGTCGGAATTATCCGAATGTCCCATCTGCCCTGTGAGCTCTCTCTGTTCGTCCGGAGGTTTTTTATGACTAACGTGTTCTTCCTGAACAGAGATTTCTTCTTGATTCGAATGCGCTAGTTGCTGGCTATCGCAGGCAACCGCTTGCACTGAATGTGCTGCACACTCAGAGAGCTCAGATTTGTCTAAGAGCTCTGGCTCCTGTTGGACTTCAATCTGAGCTGCTGTTTCTGTTTCCTCTGGGGTTTGTTTGATTTCTGACAAACCGTTTAAAGCTGTCTGGCCTGCCTCATCTGCTTTTTCTTTTCGCTCAGACGCTTCTTCCAGCTCTGCTAACACTGAGTCTGGGTTTGTCTGGTTGGATTTCTCCGTTAGTTGTGACAATTCTGTTTGAGACTCTTTTTCAAGTACTTCGTCTCTGTTTTGTGTCTGGCTCATGTGAGCCTTTTCTACGTTAGATAAGTCTTTATCAGTGGACTTATCGTTTTGAGCAGAGGTCTGATTGAGCACCGAGGGAGAAGGCTTAGTCTGACTTTCAGTGGCCTGGTCCTTAAGAATAACAGTATTCATTTTGTGCTGCGAGTCCTGCCGCATGTAGGACTCAAGGAGACGGTCAAGAATGATCTGGAAGGAGTCCACACTGAACTCAAACTGCCGCCTTAGCACGCTCACAAATTTGAGCTCCAGGTTTTTGCCGCTGTTGTTTGACAGGGAGATCAGGCTCCAGCGGTCGTGTTCGTTGAAGACTTTGACCATTTTTTGAACATAAGCCTCCTTCATGGTGGCGCTGCTGATCCGCTCTCTGTTGACTCCGGTCGGCAGGTAGTCCAGCAAACAACTCAGCACGGATTCTTTGATCACCTGTGGGGGACAATAAGTCAAGAACATGACAGCTACAGCTACTAAATGTGATCTCAGTGCAAATTTGCTTGTTTTACTCACTTAACTCCAATAACGTTTTGCTCAACTTCCATGTTTTTATGTGTCTGCATGATGAGGCTGTAAAAGCAGCACGAGCACTCCTGCTTATTATAATGATAATTAAGACTGTAGTATTAACAATATCTTTTTAATAGTTTAGATTAGCTCTAAACCTCTTCCAACTGCGTGTGTTTTCCAGCGTACTCTTTCTGATGGTTAAACGAGGCTTTCTCAGTGCTTAATGAGACGAGTGTGTCATAATAAATGCAAAGGACTGAAATCCATTTCTTAACCTATACAACCCTCAGCTACTTCCACTTCAACCAAAAGATTTGCAGAAACGGTACCTGGAACTCCTCTTGACTGGGCAACTCTACTCCAAAGATGATGTCCAGGTCCTTGTAGCTCGTTCCATTATCTGTCACGAGGACGTGGCTGGCCGTGGAGCCATTCAGACGAACGTCTCTGACCGTGATGCCCTGCTTCTGCAGCCTTGCCCGCACTGCTATGATGATGTCGCGAGGACGCAGCTCCAGAGTTGGGAAGTTCCCGCGGCCGTGGATGGGCACCACTTCGGAAAGAACCTGATGAAGAACCTCCACCTGCTCAGCGTTCAGGCTGTGGAACCGCTGGCTGGATTTCTTTTCAGACATGCTGCTGCCCTGATGGGATGGAAGCGGGAAAGAGGGAAGAGCAGTTAAATAAAAAAGCCCGAAGTGTGCTGCATGCTTAACTGTCTTCTGTCAGCTGTTCGCTACCCACACAAACACACTGAGCACTCAGTCACCCTCATGTGCACGCTCCCTGCCAGTCTGCTGTTTGCAAGTCATAGCTTGGCTGACAGCTTTTCCACAAGGCTAATGTGACTGCTGTGTTGACAAGCTGACACATGGAGCCATCCACATAAATGTGCTTTGCATAAATATCCTTCTTCTGCCCAACCACAACAAACCACGGAGAGGTGTTGGAAAACGCTGACATAATTTCCCACCCAAAAATGCATCCCCAAAATAATGATTAACTTCTTCTCGCAAATGGAGTGCCACCATCTAAGTTCAGACCTCCTCGAAACATTAAAGAGAAAACCTAACTTAGCTGTTAGGTTGCAAGAAAATGGGATAGCACACAAAGTAAGATTGAGTCTTTGTTTATGAATTTTTTACACCAGAGGAGCAAGGGTTAAGATGAATGAGTCATCACCAGCAGACTGCATTAATCACACCAACGTCACTAATTAAAGACACACATCTGTTTTTCTGTCCGTGTGTGCAGCACATGATGTATGTACATTACAAACAATGGCAGGCATTCAAGGGAGTGCAGGAAGGTTTTAATGCAGCGCCTCTGAAAATTGAAAAATTAATTGGAGCAAAGTGGAAATTTAATATCGAGTAATTTGTTTTTTTATCTTTTTTTTATGGTTCTGCTTTCATGTGCATAATCCTCCAGGCGGTTAGACACAGCCCCCGATCCGCACTCCGTCTATCAATCTCCACAAACTAGATCCATTATTTCAATGAGCCGCGCAGTATTTGCCTAACCAAGTACATCCGAAGAGTCTCTGTGTGTGATTGTGTGTGCCTGTCGAAGCGTTTCAGGGAGTGAGCGCTCATGTTTGAGAAGGCAACTGTGGTTCATACGAACCCATTATGATCTATTGTGTTCTTTAATCAATAGTTGTCACTCAGTCCTAAAGCTGAGTGCTACTGATTGCTATGATTTGCCAATACCAGCAGGCTAAACACAGGGATACTAATGAGCCCTAATGGGATGCTTACTAAATCAGTTTGGCAGAAGGTTACAGTCAGTTACAGCCACAAACAATCTATTACAGGGAGTGCTTGGATATCTTTAAATAAATCAACCAGCCCCTTTCTGTGTATTACAAATGCAATACACAACCCTTTCTGATTATTTAAAATAAAGGAACAAAGTATGCTTACCAGTGAAAAAAGAAGTTGTCAGACCACAAAGAGCTCCCGAAAGACCGTTGTGAACAAAACACATCAGCGTTCCAACCTCAACAACATCAAACTACCGAAGCATCCCACGTCCAGAGGCATCAAACGGATCTCCAGGAGTTGACACTGATCGTATACACAATGAAACAATGTGCCGAGGGTGGTGACAGAGAGGCTCTGCGGGACTGGCCCCTCTATCCCCCCCTCCCCTTTCGCACTCTTCTGCAAACTTACAGGCTGAGTGACTCATCCGGGCGTATGGGCTCAGCTAATCTATGGCCACAGAAAAAAAAAAAACCAACACATCTGAAGCCCGCATGCGACGCGCACACAAACTGGACTGTTTGTTTGTTTGTTTTTTAACTTAGCTCGCTGAGCTGGGTAAACACATATACGGGTAAACGGGTAGTCGTGGATCGTGTGTATCCAAAGGAAAAAACGCAGCCATTTGTTTCCTTGACTTTTCTTTTTTCAGTTGAGGGGAGTGCTTTTCTTCACACTTTCCTTCACCCGGGAAAACATAAACCTGCTCATTCGGACTCAAACGGTAAACCAGTGAGTTATAAGGTTTCTTTTCAAAAGAAAAAAAAGTAAACAGTTCATATTCTACATAAAAATAACCTACTTGATATTACAGTTGAGTCCATCACTATTTCAAAATTGAATGGAAACATCACCACATTACGCACTTATTTACACCTGAGGTGCCAGGTGGAGCCAATTAACTGCAATTAAGAGAGCGGCACTATAAGGGTTCGAAAGACCACCCCTTTTCTAACGGGACTGGGGGAAAAAAGTAAATTCTTAGCGGAACTGCGCCATTCGTACCTGTTGCTGTGGCACTGGGGGGAGCAAAGGGCTCCTGGCGTGGTAGCGAGTTAAAACTGCGAGTATCCAACGAGCCACAGGTTCAGGGAGTCAGCGTATCTTCTTCGTGGGTTCGCTCTTCTCCCTTCGGGTCCCTACCCGCTTCGGTCAGACCCGGTGCTGATTCGGCTCCGTCTCTTAGAGGGCATGCGACGCTCCAATCTGCGCGCGAGCTCATTCGGGCGCTGTCCGGGAGGCGCGTGGTGCTGAAATGAAGAGTGAAACGAGTCGTCCTCATACTCTTGTTTTCTCCCCCGGCCGCCCGGAGCGTAACGCAGTTTCCATGGCGACCCGCCGTCACTCAGTTATGACTCGGGAGCGTGCGCGCGCGCGCGTCTCGCGCTCACAGCAACGACGGTGGCGTTGTGGTGGTGGGAAAAGAGGGCGTTAACAAGTGTCAGGGATAATCTGTGTGATAGCCCTGCGCTGGGAAAAATAAAAGCATCTGAACGGATGCGCCGGCGAGACTTTGGGTTATTGTCTTTTTTGCTTTTTGTTGTTTGGAATGCAGCCATGAGATGAGCCACGTGACCTCACAGATACCCAAAATACTGAGACGAATACTTTTAGCATCCAGACCGACTCAAAGGACCCTGGAAAACCTTTGGACATGCGGGGGAGATGATGCCTCGGCCCCCGGCACACTGCCTCTTTGGAAACAGCATTATATCTAATGCGGTGTCCATCATATACAGTATGAGTCATCCGTTCTACTTCCTCCCCCAGAGCTACAGCCGTTAATCCCTGCCCAAAACGGCCTCCTCTAACGGGCCGGTCCATCTACACACTGCTGCCTTTTACCTGAGTAATGATCATTTCCCCCCATAATGCTGTCACTAATTGTTCCACATCTTCCAAACTCGCCAATCCACCCCGATGTGTCCATCTGTTTTGACTAATAACACAAGTCTCAGCCTGACTAGTTTAAATCTGGTGGTTTAAAAAACCGCACTTTCATATTCGGGGTGGGCTGCATTTGAGAGAAACTTGAGTGAACGCGTTATGGCGCGGGCACAAACACACGCCGAGTGGCTTCGCAACAAAGGTCAATCTACTCCTTCACTAAAAAGCACAAATGACGTCACTAGACATGTACCCAAACCTACCGATACCGGGAACAAACTATTTTTAGTCAGGATGGAACTTGTCTGTTTTGGACACGCGCGTACATTTCTCGAACAGTCGTGACGTAGAGCGCGCGCGCACGCTAGGCTAAGTCGTGATCACGCGTGACGACAGTTAAAGGTTGCCAGAAATACGAGCGATTTGAACACGAAGATAAAGATTTATTGAGATAGTTCCCCCTTGTTTTCTAGCAATAGCAACCGGGGCCAGCCTGTTCAAGAATGTCTGAGCGACTTCAGCATTGAAATATGATTGGCAGGCTACGAGCTTTATCTCATCAAACATTAACCAGGCTATATGTGGAAAATCAACCCAATTATTGCAAAGTATAAAGGGAAATTCACGAATATTTGTTATTTCCTAAACGTCACAATTCTGCGCATGCGTATTTTGAAGAAGCTAAACGTGTACGTTTAAAAAAAACTCAGTCTCGGTTTAAAAAAAGTATTTTCTCCCAGTCGCCCCCAGAGGACACTGAATACTACAAAAATCCTACAAGATATTTATTCTAACAACAACACAAACGCCAAACGACCAGTGCGTAGGCAAAAGCGGAAGTGCGTAGAATGGATTCCTCTTGCTTACACTAGAGAAGACAACCTGAAAAAAAAATCAAAACAAACAACTCTGCGAGATTATTTTTTTTCAGTTTCCTTTAATAGATAACCAAACTCGTCACAGGGGGAAGGCTTCCTTCAAATCGAGTATGGAGAGTATCCTTTATTGTTTACTTTGACATTTACCGCGGAGGATACATATGCCTAGCAGCAACCGTTGCTAGTCATTAGCTGTTTGGTTACTAGCTAACGCTGGCGTGTACGTAACTTCTGCCTTGTTCACTGCATGGCGAGGGAAAATAGTGACAGCTGTTGGGTTCACCAGAGACATTTAATGACAAGTTAATCTTTTACGAGAATATGAAATAATCTGTTTAACATGACTCGGATTAAACTGGCCAAATGCTCCTGAGAGAAATCTTCATCAGTGTAATTTTTTTTTAGATATCACCAATAGTCAAAGAAACCATCCCTTGACCGGCTTTACTAGAGCAATTGTTCGACCTCAAGTTTGCGGCCAAAGAGCTTCAGAGGAGCTCTAAGAGATGTGACAAATAAGAAAAGGCAGAAAAATCCAAAGTGAAGCAGGTTGGTCTGACGGTTTAGGGCCCGGTTGGAGCCCAGACAGGCTGCGTTATTATTTTCCCTTTTGTTTTTCTCAGGCCATCCAGAAGGGTAATATGGAGGCAGCCAGGATCCATGCAGAAAATGCCATACGTCAGAAGCACCAGTCCATTAACTTCTTGAGAATGAGCGCCCGCGTGGATGCTGTAGCTTCCAGGGTCCAGACCGCTGTCACCATGAACCAGGTCATCTCTCTTTTTTTTCTCCCTGAACAGCAGAAAAAATGAAGGGCAGTGGAAATCATATCTGACAGTTTTATTGACAAAAGTACCACATAGATTTCTCAAGGTGGAAATAACTGGAAGCTACTGTCAACCATGGAAATATATTTTGAAATCATTATGATGCTGTTTCGGATTCTGTGTAGTGAAAGGTGTTATTGGGGGCAAATCGTTAAACCTCATGGTTGCAGGTTCAAAATTGGGATTTCTGAGAGGAAAGTCATTGTTTTTTTTCCTAACTGTTGCATTAGTCGACATCTCAATATTTGCCTCCAGAAGTTGTGAAGGAGAGGTGAAAATTCTGACAGAGAGGTATTTAATTCTAGTTTATGGGTATAATTAATTTAATCTGAATTTCTCCTTTTTTCTTATAAAACGCCCACAAAAAAATCTATTTCCAATGTAGAAGTGAGTCTTATTCTTATTTTTAAACCCATAATTTGCTACACAGTTGCAGCTATTTTCTGTATTTCTATTTCATAAAGAATGATCTCTCTCCAGGAAAACAAAGTGCAGCGCTCAGCCACCTCAGAGTCAACAAAAGGGGCTCGCAGGCCTGCAAATAAAAAGACATCAATTACATAATGTCCTCAGATGTGATTCAGACCCTATGCTCTCAGCTTGGTCCTTCTGGGACAGAGAGAGCCTCTTTTTAACATGATATAATTGAAATTCTCTACAGAAAAGGAGCCATTTCGATGAGCTGAACTTGATAATGTAGGCAGAAATGTGAGAAAGGTGTGAGCTCCTGTAACCGAAAAAGCTCATCTAAGCACCTCTAAACCTCGCTATCTGTCTCATTAAACCTTAAATCAAGGGTGTAAATATAAAAATCTTTCACTATAGCTCATAGCTTATTCAACTAAGACTGGGTTCATTTTTACAAGATTAATCCTTAATCCTCCACCTATTAGGGAGGCTTTTCGGATGAGAGTTGGGCATTAGGATAGTTCTAGTTTAAAGAGCCAAAGTGACACCTAGTGGAGTGTAGTAGGCACTGAACTTCAAACTTTCTGATTATTATATACATTAATTCTTCAATTTAATCTATAAAAAATCAACCGCAGAGGAGGTCAAATCAAACTAAAGCAGCTCTAAATATGTGTTGAATGATTTTTATTTCTTTCAGGTCTCTAAATCCATGTCTGCAGTGGTCAAATCCATGGATTCTACACTGAAAAGCATGAATTTGGAGAAGGTAAAAACAACAAAACAAAAGAAAACAGCATCCCTCCGTACACATTTGGCAACACCTGACAGTGTTTTCTCTTCCTCTTGTTTTTCCACGCCTGGCAGATCTCTGCACTGATGGACAAGTTCGAAAACCAGTTCGAAACCCTGGATGTGCAGACGGCCCACATGGAAGACGCGATGAGCAGCACCACCACGCTGATGACACCTCAGGTAGCCAAAAGAGCAAAAGACCTTCCACTGTTTCTTCCTTTAGAAAAAAAACAACTCTCTTTTATTTCCTTTCCGATTGTTTTGTTTTCCTAGAATGACGTTGATATGCTGTTGCATGAAATGGCAGATGAAGCAGGGTAAGAGCTCGTCCAGCGCATGAGACCAAATGACAGAAAAAAAATAGGCTTTATTTAACATACCATTTTTGTTTTGTCTTTTTGCCTTTAATTTTGTTAAGGCTGGATCTTAACCTGGAACTTCCTTCGGGTCAGACTGCCTCTCTGGCTTCGTCTGCAGCATCATCTGAGCAGGTAACGCACAGCTGTTTGGCTGGACATTTCACAGCTGATAACTGCTGACTCAACGCTAATTTTTGCGGACAAAACCTAAAAAAATAGTGAGAGGCCTCCCCCCAACTTACACCAGCAACTGGATCGGATTTACATCCTCAACATGTCCGCCTGAGCCCTGCCAAACTAGACTGTTTAAAGGTGCTGCGCCCCACAAAGAGGGGGAGATTTTACTCTCGGCTTTCTCTCGCCGGCGTGCTCCCTGCTTTTCAGAAGCTCAAAACTGATCCATTTTTCTCCTCGCTTTCGTCCCTCATTCTGTTGTTAGCTTCCACCTTGTTTCTCCAAGTGTCGACTTTGCCCCCGGAAAGCCCTTTTGGCCGCAAAGTTGCGGTGACAAGAGCTTCCTCTGGCTTTTCTTAAGCCGACTTTAAACGTTTAACTAATCCTTTAAGGATTTTCTGTGATTATTTTTCAAGTTAAAGGCGACTAATCTTTCGACGAAATAATTCACAAAGCGCGGCCATTCTTTAAGCTGCTGTACACCTCACAATTTCATCTCGGGGTTTTTAACAATTTTTGTTTTATTTGAAAAAAAACAATCCATTAAAGTGACAGCAATTTTACAGCTTGTGTGTGTGATGGGCTGCTTTGTGTTTTGTCATCAGGATGAGCTCTCCCAGAGGCTGTCCAGGCTGCGGGGCCAGGTGTCCTAAGGGCCGAGGGAGGCCAAGGAAACCAAAGGCGGAGACGCAGCGGTAATTAAAAAAAATAAAAAAAATAAAAAGGAAACATAAACATGAAAAACAAAGAAACGGTGCAGTGTTCCTGCTCGCTTTGAAAGCGCTCGGAGGGGAACGGCCGCAGAGGAGCAGCGTCGTAAGGGAGGGCGACGCCGGCCTCCGTCTGCATCTGCTCCACGGTAACCCTCATTTGCCTTTTTAAGGACGTTTACATTATTGTCCGAAAGCTCGGCAAGCGCACGCCTCTCGGTATTTGCAATACTTTGCCAATGTTGAAAAAAAAGTATGTGCTTTGTTTACAGCGTGTACCTCATTCTAAAAAGGGTTGTGAATTATTTTTGAAATGCAAAGACCCACGTTTGTTGATTTGTATTTATATGTATTTATGCTTATTTATTGACCGACTGACCTTTATCAGCGTTGCACTTCTTGCATGAGAGAATGCGAAGAATTGTGTTTTTTGCTTGTTTCCTGTTGTGGAACCCCCCCCCCCCCTACTGTTTTTTACTCAAAAACAGGGCTCATGGTGAATTTGTAGCACTCTAACCTGCTGGGAGAAAAAGCCATTAAAAGAAGATGTGAAATAATATGTCCTCGTAAAGCTTTTTATTCTTCCCCTTCCAGTCTAATTTTGCAGTCGTGTTTCGGTTGAGGCATGGGGCCCACCTCCATGTCCCTTCACGGCCCCACCATTTTTAAAATGTCTTCTTTCTTTTTTTTTATCGTGGCCCCTCCTCTTTCTACCCTCCAACCGGGAACAGATGAGAGGTCAAAGGTGTCACCTGTAGAGGAAGTGGCCTTCTGCCGCTCGCATGCCAGTGCCTCATTACACACACACATTCAAACGCAGAGTTCACGGCGTCCTGAGGTCAGGTGGGGGGAAGGGGGGGTTCCATGTCTCAGCTGGGAGCCATTACAGGTGCCGTCCGAGCGCGCACAAATATCCGTACATCGTAGCTGATGGGAGCTCTCCACGGTGACGGCCCCGCCACCTCTGACCCCTTTTTGTGTCCGTCCCAATCATCATCAGCACGCACTTAATCGCGTTCACAATCATCATCATCAGCAGCGCCCCCCCCCCCCCCCCCATCTGACACAAGCCTCTATTTTGCCCATAACTAGGCACTTTGATGAGCGCGGCGTTGTCCGCGCTGCGTTTGCGTGCACACACACTCCCTCAAACCCTGAGTTATTTGCAGCTGACCCCAGCCATCCAACAGCTGTCAGTCATTTCTGCCCCGAGCTAAATCATCCCAAATTAAGATTCCACGTCCCTTACGCCGCAAGAAACACAAGGTCCATCCCATGCGTTCGGTTTTAAGGCTATTTTTAACCGGCAGTGGCCATCTCCTGGCGTTTCAGCCTGATTAAAGCCGGGGATGGGGGGCGTTTCTCGACCTATTTTTTGGTCGGCGGCGTTCATGGCAGCATGTGGGGAGGGATGCCTCCACCAGATGTGCAGGAGGCCGCCTCCAGCTTGTGCGGCGGCGCACACGCAGGAGGGAAAACCTGTTTTCATACCCAGCGGTTCTCCGCTCCCAGCGCCATCAGCACCTCCCAGTTCCTACCGGAGTGATACCTGCTGACAGGCAGTGGATCCGGCTGCTCTTGTTTCCAAATAGGGGCTACTGACTAGGTGAAAAAGCTTTCTTTGTAAAAAAAAAAAAAAGAAAAAAGCCATACACTGGGTGGATGTTGACTTGACTCACCCCAAATCTTCATAAAAATTCATAACTTGTTGTTTTTTTTTCTTCTAAAAGTTTCAGGGGAATAGCCACCCTAACCTGATAATAAATAACTGATAATCCAATTTGAGGTTAAAGCTAAATTGCTGGTAAATGTGCTTGTAAATTTCAATAAAGAAGCTAATTGTCAGTGGTTTTATAATGAGAAAATCTAATCCTTAAACTATCAGAATTTAATTTGAGCCCTGATTTTAATCAAGCAGGAGCAGCCATTTCCATTTTTTAAAATCGTTGCACATGATGTCTTTATTTCCTGGGAAAAATAGGCAGAAAGGATTTTTTATAATCATTGATTTTGAATTTTATGCATGTTTCTTGTACTCCAAAAATAAATCAAGCCAAATGGATAATCTAAAGAAAAGAATAAAATATAAGCTCAAGTATTTTCTAGTTACTACTACATAAAAATGGCTAAAAGTGGAGTTGGGTTTTAAATGAGCAGCTGGATGACTTTCTCCGTTAAATCTTTATGCTCTAATCATTAAAGCATATAGATCTAACATCACACTAAATGTTTATTATGATTAGAAACTTCCCGAAACTGAAAAAAAAAAATCCACCAGAACTAGTTATTAAAATCACACACATCTATAAAATACATATCTAGAATACATATCTTTAAATTATGTTCTACTCCAGCAGGGACAATAAAAAAGACTAATATAAATATGAATCATCATGACCAAACTGACACCTCTCACTTTAACAGTCGGAAGTGCCTATGACTGTCTGATTCCCCTTGAGTCGAGGATTTGAACGCCTTTTTACAGGCATCTGATCTCAGTATCTTTTCAGAGTGCTAAGGTAGATTATGTGGTAAGGTAGATCCCCCCCCCCTTCTGCTTGTCCTCTTCCTGCTTCTCAACTTCCCATTTGAAATATTCAATTACCAGCCGTGAAGGGTCAGGTCAAACACAGGAAGCTGAGCTGATTGGTTCTACTCGGATATCGATGGGCATGTGTGACCAATCATGCCGCTACCCAGGGCTCTCCCAACTCCTCCATCTGCTAATGTGTGTGAGTGTGTGTGTGTCTAATTGTTCCAGACTCAGTCTTCACTCAGTTTCCACTCACCTCTTGACCACTGCGCCCTGTCAGACGTGTTAACGCTGCTTTTAATCAGTTTTACTGTCTCATGCGCACACACACACACACACACACACACACACACACACACA